ACTCTGTGAGATGTACTAGTTCATTTACACTTACTTTCATGTGATACCTCCAGTGTTTGATCCAGCCCTTGAATGGCCCCTTCTTTTGGGGGGCCAGGGGCCACACGCAGCAGGGGCTCCCCGGCAGACATCCATATATGAATATGTTGGGTTACACAGTAAATGTTCCTGTGTTCGGATATTGGTACCTTGTTCGTTTAACCAAAGTGCTCTGGGCTGCCGGTCTAATACCCTGTCACAAGCATAGAAGCCGGGCCCCTATTAGACGCCGGGTTTCTAATACTGTGACATGTTGGTGTTGAATAATGGCGGTGTTCCTGTAAATGTACCCATTGTATGACGAGACATTAGAATTCTGTAAGGTAGTGAGTTGCCACTGTGCCAACATTAAACAGAAAAGACGCTTGAGCGAAATTAAAAGACCCCCGAGCGTCTAAAAGAAGAAATACGATACAACACATAATCTCTGAATAACAAATGACTGAAACTCTGCGACCAAGTAATGGACAAAAGTGCACTTCCAATGAGAAGAGCTGTCGGTCATATTTAAAATCGGATCTGAGCTCTGTGAAACAACATTTCAGGGATCATCCACACAAAGTCACAACATCACATGTCATACGGGTTGATAAAAGTCACAACATCACATGTCATACGGGTTGATAAAAGTCGCAACATCACATGTCATACGGGTTGATAAAAGTCACAACATCACATGTCATACGGGTTGATACAAGTCACAACATCACATGTCATACGGGTTGATAAAAGTCGAAGGCATGAAAGTTTACGACGGACGAGCTATACGTGTACAACATAAGTTCCCTTGAATTAAAACATGTTTGTTACCAATATAAACAACATACTGTGGAAGCACTAGTCCGCTATGTTTAGCATAACTTAAACCGCCAACATTTTTCGAAGATGCACAATGCACCATGTCACATGACGTCAATAATGTGCCATCTTCCCGAGGCAAGAGCGTCCACTTGCCAAAGAAACTAGGCTTTGGTATAGGCTAGTGGACACGCTTGGCTCGGGAAGATGATAATGTCCCAACTGTCGCACATTTGTAGGGTAATGTGTCGCACCTGAACTGACCGGTCAAAATGTCCTCCCTCAGTGATATGATTGTCGAACACAATGACTGTCAATAATCTAACAGTTAGGTCCTCACTTCATGTAGGTTCATGCTCCATTGAACAAAGTGAAAGACAATCCTAATGCTAAATGTATGCTTAAACGCTGAGTTGAAGATTATAGTGGCTAATTCATCAGAAACAGTGCATCTGTATATATTTGTGCTAGGGAAATTCCATGAAGATTGAAGATTATAGTAAGTATTTCTCAAGTGAATGTGTCGCTTATGAACGTCAGTTTCGCGGCCATGTGACCGACCTCTCGTCCAATGGAAAAGCGGCATACAGTGTAAATTTCACATTTAAAAATTATTCATTGACCTTACGCTATTCATAATAAATGTGGCACGTCGGCAAAGTGGTGTATATAACAGCAAATCGCGGTGCAGAGTTGCGTCCCATAGGCGTGGCAGGATCCGCTAATCCGGGGTTCGAATCCCAGATACGTCTTTAACCTTGTCAGCACCATATCTGCTCTCGTTGGTTACACCGAACGTCTCAGACATGTGTCACATTGGCCTATGTCTTACCTCAAGCCGACTGACTGTAAATCATAAATACTATACAAAGGAGCATACAACCCCAGCTATATGTGATTACACGAGCACTCAAAGCAATAGTAAAATAACACGACACCACAGAATATTTGCCACAGGTTTATTACACAAAATGTTATTGCAGTGGATAGCTTCTCTGTGCACGATACAGAGTGGTTGTCAGAAGTGACAGAAGATCACTAAAACAAGCGTCACAAGATGGCTGCCTTCTTTATGCTACAACGAGGCTGACATCCTGTCGTACCAGCAACAGCAGTTTTATAAACGCTACAAAAGGAGGCTTGGTAGAAAAGTTGGAAACAGCAGTTTTGGTAGCACTGAAATTAGAGGATAATTAAAATTTTGTTTTGTGTTTAACATTTTCATTACATGTGAAAACATGTGGTCATATTAGACACCTGACACTCTTTTGGTAGAATGGAGAACACAGTTTAGCCAAACTGTAAATAACGTTAAATAAATATTACTGTTTGAATGATATCGCAACAAAGATACACGAACAAAGACACGTACATACCATTTTAATCACGTTGTCTGGTAATTATTGGGATAGTATGACGAACTATAATTTCAAAGAGATGTAAAAAATATAGTGTGCGGAAGTCTGACCAGCAATATACACAATTTGTTTGTTAGCTAATACAATATTTAACATACTAAAACATAATGGGTAGACATGGTAGAATAAATGATAATTATCACATTTGCTCAAGATCTGATATTGATATGTACATAATAATAATAATAATAATAATAATAATAATAATAATAATAATAATAATAATAATGTCATCAGCAGCTTTTAGTCTTATTTATAACTGTGTACAGCATGTATCAATTATTTACATTTGTTTAACAATTAAGACTCGAGCGGTCATGCGGTTGCACTAAACAACACATGAAAGCATAATAAAGCAAGTGAATTCTCGAAACTATTCTTCTCCACAAACTAAGAAAGACATGATACTCCTCACTCCTGATACAAAAACCAAGATTGAGTGAGTGAGTGAGTGAGTGAGTGAGTGAGTGAGTGTGTGTCGGTGTACACCCAATCTCTTTAAAAGGGGAAAGTTTACTCCGATTTGACACCTCTCTGCGTAGAAGTTCGTGCCTGGTGAACCCTGGATGATTTTTGACTACCCCAACTAAATGGAGGATGCGTAGGTTCTTCATCCAATCACGTGACAGCTTTCTAATACGGTTTGGTTTATTACTCGACCATCTCGATTCGGAAATTTCGATTTTTACGGAAAAGAACACACGGGACACAAACAATTCTTCGAAAGTATCCGTTTGGGTGTAGATGCCATGGCGCTCAGAAACGACAGGGTGGATATCCACACCAATATAAAGCGCGGTCTTCGTTATATACCTTCGGGAAAGGTCGTTTTCGAGATACAGAAATCAGATATGTTGGTCTGAATGCTCCGCTACAATAAGCACGGATGGTCAAAACTTCCCTTTGAAAATCCCGCACATATTTATTTGTTCTTAAGACAATACAAGTGGTATGCCGGTTGCCTAGAGTTGGAGCGTTGGCAGCCTGGTTCCCTGAGTATGTTGCGCTGGCGCTACACCAGCGCAAACATACCCAGTGGACCAGACTGGGGCGCTGGCACCCTCTGTCTATTAGCCATATTCCTGACAAACCACGGCAGGGGAACCAGATAAAGCTCTGTCCACGTGGGCAATCATGACCTTGAGTCACAATGCGATCTAAGCGCTTAGATGACCGTAACTGCCTTATTATAACACACAATTAGACACACGAAAACCGTCTTGTGCTAAGATAATTTTGTGGGACTGGGCCCAGGACCCACTTGCACAAACCGATCTTAGCGCTAAGACTATTGTAAGCCTATGTTAAAGTATGCGAGCTACGATCATCTTAGCGCTAAGATCGCTTTGTGCAAGTGGGCCCTGGACCGCGTTTTCTGTGTGGCGAGCGGACACTGTAATCACTCGACCTTCAACACCTGGAAGGAGAGTCCAAATTGCTCCAATAAGGGCAATCGAACCGTAGTGTTCAGGTCGCGCTCCACGCCCCTTTCACCAACCCCACCCTGTTCATGACTAACTAGCATACACTGAAAAGATGACGAGAGGTGATTGTAATGTGAACGAGTGGCACTGTCCAATGTCTGCCTGGTTGAAGGTGGCGCGATACCAATACTGTGTACACCGACTGTGTATATAGCATACGTACCACACGTGCAAAGACAAATACCTGTCCAAAATATTGGTATAATTCCCATAATGGGTAGCACGAACGTTTTCACGAAATGCACTCACCGCATCTCCAAGACATCTGTATACCAGGTGTAACAGGGTATGTGCGTGCATATATGTTTGAGTAACGCTTATTCATAGGTTTGTGGTTAAATAATGTATACTCAGAGTCATTATTGTGGGGTATTCAAATAACGTCGCCTTTTCAAATTCAAAGAATGCAGTTCAGTTGCATCTGGTACGAACCATGTTTAATCCACATCGACTGTTACTTGTCACGTGCATGTGCTAGACCCCAGGTGTGTGTTTTGGGTAGATTCTTTCTTCACCTTCAGTCTTGCTCTTTTCATTGTTTTTAATGGTCGTTGTCCATTTTTTTCAGTTTCATAGAATACCCCAATCAGAGTGACATAGGCATTAACAACATTTGCTTCAACTGTTGTCACATTGTCAAAATACTCCGATCTATTGACGCTTGTTGGCCTATACCCTTCAATAATGACGCTGAGTATACATTCTAACAAATGGGGGAATTGGTGCATTTCAGTTGCCATGTAGTGACCTGATTTCCTATATTTGTATTGGCGACAAATGCAGAAGTCCCGCCAATGTTTCTTGTACATTCAACTTAACGTCAATACCGTTTGGTATTATCACGTGATCTCGACTCAAGACAACGTGTTTGATATGATTATTTCGTCTAAAAACAATAGTGATAAAAAGTTCAAAGCAAAATACTACAAAAATGTAGAGAAGCTACCTCACGAGAGAGAAAGAGCACGTGACTTTCAACTACCTCCACTTGATGCGATAAGTCACTAAAACTGTGGTCATTTTTGCTTGAAAGTAAACAATGATATGCTAATAATTACAGTCAATGCCTATAATTCATTATGATTAATTCTAGAACTATTCTCAACTAGAATGATGGTATATTGTTTGTTTGTTGTTTAACGCCGAACTCAGCAATATTCCAGCTATATGACGGCGGTCTGTAAATAATCGAGTCTGGACCAGACAATCAAGTGACTGACATCATGAGCATCGATCCACGCAGTTGGGACACAAAGACATGCATCAACCAAGTCAGCGAGCCTGACCAACCGATCGCGTTAGTCGCCTTTTGCGACAAGCTTAGTCGCCTTTTATGACAAGCATGGGTTGCTGAAGACCTATTCTACGCCGGATCTAGAATGATGGTATATCAACAAGAGGTAAGATGAAGCAATGCCTCGTTAACGTAAATCGAATGCCTGGTAACCCACATTTTCGGATTAACCGTACTTCAAAAGAGATTAGACAGTAGACCAAATTTCAGCTTGGGATAACTCTCTTCAGTAAACGAGGACGTCGACTTTCTGCAAACACAGCATTTCTACAAGAGTATTATGAAGGATTGTCATAGTCTTATAATGTGAAACACATCAACATTGTAGATTACATAAATCATGAAAAACTGATTAATTGTCTTGGTTCGGACACGAATGCATTCATTGTCAATGAACAATCTCTTTGATAAAGTAAAGGGTTGTGTTTTCGGAATCAGTTTTCAATCCGGAACGAAATATGGACAATATATAGTGTCGTCATCATCTCAATATTCGTTTGGTCAGTTGTAACGGTTTTCTCCGGAATGATTCTGTTCGGTAATGGACAAACTTCCTGGATGCGAGTTCCGAACTCTAAATGTAGGATCTAAATAGACATATATCATTATCATATATCTATACATATCTATACAATAATATCACAGTCATTGGTTATTTACAGACACTATATACACTGAATCAATCATGTATCAATGAATGCATAAAATTTTCATTATCAAAGACAAAGTTAACATTGCAGCATAACATAACGAGACACGATGGACAGGTGTTCGTGCAGGCTGTAGGGAATTGTATGCTACACCGTATGCTACATATGTTGGTTGGTTGGTTTGTTGTTTAACGCCGCACTCAGCAATATTCCAGCTATATGACGGTGATCTGTAAATAATCGAGTCTGGACCAGACAATCCAGTGAGTGTCATCATGAGCATCGATCCACGCAATTGGATGGGTTGCTGAAGACCTATTCTACCCCGGATCTTCCCTAAATATGTACAATAGTTAAATATAGTGAATGGGGAGATGAACACTTGTATTGACATCTTCGTGGGTTCAGGGAATATTTATCTGCACCATCGATCTCAACAACACCAGATTAAATATTAAAAATATCCATTGCTGAAATAGTAGCCAGTGAAACTAGTGAGTGAGTGAATATGGTTTTACGACGTTTTAACCAGCATTATCACGGTGGGGGACACCGGGTTCATCCATTCTAACTATGGGGGAATAGAATCCGACCTATCAGCGTGACAAGCTGTCGTGTTTTGAAATGTTCAATACTTAGACAGTAGTGAAAGGCAAGAGTGAGTGAGTGAGTGAGTGAGTGAGTGTAGTATTATGCCCTATATATCAATTTTCCAGTATTAGCACGGCGCATTCGTCACCACTCGCCCCTTTCCGTAACCTGCGGAATAACACGAGCTGGTCACGGACTGGCACGGCGGGTACACCCGAAATTGTCTTCATACATTCTACTCATGTGGGGAATCGAACCAGGATCTATATCGCCAGGGCTCGAGTTTCGGTAAACCCACACTGAGACCATCATGAAGGTAAATTCTAGATTGGTATGCTGAAATTATCATCGCATAGCATCAAGACGGAGAAAGTAACATGATATTTCACAAACGTCTCAATTTCTGAAATAATAAACCAAGAATATAACCTCTTCGTACAGACGTGACCACAGTTTACATCTACCGTTAGTCAGGACCGTTTATCCAGTCTAGACACCTAAAAACCGATTCGTCCGGATAAACGAGGCTGTATGCGGTTTGAACTTGGTTCCATCCACTTGAGAACATATGTAAAACAGAACCACTATACACTTGAGACCATATGTCAAACAGAACCACCATACACTTGAGACCATATGTCAAACAGAATCAGTCTATACGGGCCCTAACAGAAACAAATTATTGTCAAATTGCATGGTTGCATATAGTTCTTAAAAAGCATTACGTTTGAAAAATATAACTAGATCATTACGATAAGTTGCAATTTGATTAAATTGCATATGTACAAATACATCTAAAACTATGTGTAGTCGTATTTGTTGCATAATATGTAAAAATCTGGTGCGTAATTCACTCATAATTGCGATAAAACGTCTTTTCGCCACAAAAAGAATGTCAAAAACATCCCCGCCATGCTTTGCAATTATTTTGATATGCCGTTCTTTTCCTTCTTCTCATTGTTAGAGGTGGTTTTATTCCGACCAGGGCTATAGTCGTCCCCTTTGTCATCTCCCTTGCCCATGTCGAGGTTGTTGGCGAGGCCCTGCATCGAGAGGTATTTCTGTACAACCATCTCCCAGTTGACCACGTCCTCAATCCCTTGCGGGCCATGGCTGCCGCCTCCAGCACGCAGAAACCCACCTGATGATTGAACACGATACATATGTCAGTTTTGTCCTATAATGGATAATGTTATTGATACGACGAGTAAAAGGATCTATCACACCAGCGTGGCGTTTGAAAGCGTGGATACAGCGTTTTGGAGTGAATGAGTTGGGTCTTCCGACGCTTTTAGAAATATTCCAGAAATATCACGGCGGGGGACACCATAAATGGGCTTCACACATTGTACCCATGTGGGGAATCGAACATGGTTCTTCGGCGTGACGAGCGAACACTTTAACCACTAGGCTACTCCACCGCCCCCAGCGTTTTGGAAAAGGGAGGACCATTTTTATATTCTCAATAATGAAAGGAATAGAAGCATGCTAATTTGATACGCGAAGTAATACCCATTTGGTAGAGTGGTTGTTTTGTTTCTAAAATATCCACAAATGCGTTTTTGTCCACAAATGCCCAGTCGCATGGCAGGGATACTGCTGCGCACAGTCAGGCAACATTTACTTTTTTATGCAAAAAAACCGAGGCTACCTGTCAGAACCAAAATACCCAGAAACGGAGGGTCACCAAATGACATATATAGTGGACAGCATGGGGTCCTGACCTTCGGGGGCAACCTGCGTGTTCCGGCGGGCGATGTTCCGGAGCCAGTTGGCGGAGGACTGGGCCATGAGGTCAACGGAGCGGGCGTCAGCGTTGGCGTCCATGTCTTCTTCCTCGTTGATGAACTCGGACGCCCGGGAGCTGCACATCTTACCTGCGGCACAGAACGCGGGAAGTGTCATAACCTAAACTCATCATGCTTCAACCTTCCAGATTCATTCTTACTAATGTCAGATTGAGTGAGTGGGGTTTAGCGCCGCTTTTAACTGTATTCCAGTTATATCACGGCGTGTCAGCTTAATATGGGAGGAAAGTCCGAAGTGATGCAGGTCTCAGACGTTTCACACTTCGGTGAAACCCACAGGTATGGTGCTGACAAACCTAGGAATATAATTGGGGCGAACCGTGATTCGAACCCACCATCATAGGATTCTGGCGTGCCCAAGGGACACAACTCTGCACAGCGAATTGCGGCGCCTTAGACGACTGGGCCATCTTGCCACCTATTTACTAATGACAATATCATGTGGGTAACATAGTGACATACCTGGGCCAGGAACATAATTGAACGAATTCGGGATTCGAACCCACGATCATAGGTTCAGTGAAACGCGGTTATAACGACTGGACAACATGTGCTTCCACGAAGTGAACTACACGTGAATGGTACCATTAGTTAAGTGTTACCAGACGAGTGAAAGGTGTCTTACTTCCATGCTTCGCTGCCACCTTGATGTATGTGACCAGCTTGGTCAGGAGGTTCCAGGGCGCTGGCGTGGCCGACGTCTTGTTCATGTTCCTAATCAGCTTCGCCCGTCCGAACTTCCACTCCGTGTCCGACTGCTGCTGAATCCGCTGATACGTATCCGACATCATAGCAATGAGAAGATTGATGAGCACGATCAACGTCACCATCATGTACGTCCCGAACACAATCTTCACCAACGTCGTCACCCAGAACGGACTTCTATGAATTGGAGGCAAACTGTCCGGCTCCACCAAACCGAATAGGGCGAAGAACAGGTACTCGAAGGTGTCGAGAGGAGTCTGTACCACCGCCCCGGCGCTCCCGTCGCCGTCTCCTAAGGATGGGTCGAGTTCCGGCGGCGCGTACACCGGCTGATACAAGGCTGCTAGATGGAGCGTGAATCCGATCATGAAGATGAGGAGGATGACGAGGAAGCGAGTCAGATCCTTCATCAGATCTCGAATGATGATTGCCCAAGGCCCAAACAGATGGTGAAAGGATAAAAAGTCTAACAGTTGTACAAACGACAATAACAATGCCCATGCGAAAAAGTTGTTCCGCAAATATATACAAACAAACCGGTCTTCGGTTGAAAAGGCAATCGCGATGAGATGACAAAAAATTCCTATTGCACATATTGCTATGACAAAGACCCGGATCCAACCGAGCCCTGCACGGTCTCCTGGGTTGGTCAGTTCGGACACCAGAAGCCCGCTCAGCCAGGCCAGCAATAACCACTCGTACCAGTGTGGGATGAGAGAGCCTGATTTGTAGATGGGAACAAGGGGGGCAACTGTTGTCAGGCAGAATAGAATCATCAAGTAGAAGTGAGACACGAGGTACGCCATGAACTTGATGATGGGTACCTTGTTGAAGCGGTGCTTCAGCGGCATGCAGAAGATGAACCAGATTAACGGGATGAAGAGAAACGTGAAGAACAGCATGATGATTTTCCAGGTCGCCCATTGTAAGTTGCCCATCCACACGTCTGAGAGATATTTCTGAACCGACGGATGGGACACCACTTCCTTCTGTTCGTTCTCAATGAGCACATCCAGGAAGGGGACGCCGTGAGAGTCAACTGATTTCAGCAGATGCTCGGCACTGTTGGAACTGGCGGCAACAGCAAGGAGGTCTGTTGCCATGGTTTCACAATAACTACCCGCTGCTAACAAATCACGGGATCTTTCTTTTTCCTTGATTGCCAGTAGGCGGAAGTTTTTTGACATTTTTGCAGCAGTGTCAACGGGCGCGGGCGAGAGCAGGATGAACTCTTGTATACACACGTTGTTGATCAGCTTGCCACACACCATCAAGTCGAACACAAACTGGAACGATAGAAGAAACGACAGTGTTAACATACACTTTTATAACTCACTTTAGTGTTGAAGACTGCGTTTTCTGAAGTTGAGAAAAGTAATATTTTCAATGCAGTGAAGATAACACTTGATATTTCCATGCACAAAACACTTTGACGGAACTTTTTTCTTTGAAGCGTTACCTCCCCACAAAGTATCTCCCCTGAATCGTAAGTGTAAACACAAACTGCTGACTTTCTCTTTGCGTTAGTTCCACACCGCCAAGGCAAAATAATTACACAGGGTCATGCATCCTCGATAATCCAGTGCATTATATCTCCATTTTAAGATAAATACCCTGGGCTCTACCTGCCATAGTTTGGTTTTTGAGTCAACTGACGAGACGCCAAAATCGCTCTCCAATTAGATTGCAAATAGGTGCGAGAGAAATTCTATGGGACATTACTCAAAAGGAGATGATCTCAAGCGGACCGATATGTGTCTCGTGGGACACTGCGAAGTTCCACGAGACCGTGGCTGTCGTGGCGTTGCCGCAAGCGGCCTTACCTTCTTGTCGTCCATGAGGGCCCTCGTATTGTGGTCTTGTTTCATCAAGTAGCTGAGGACGTCGCTGTGGTTGGCGGCAGCGGCGTAGCAGACGGGGACCTTCCCGTCCTTTGTCTCGTTCATTGGGGACCCCCCCGACTCCATGAGCAGCATAACCACGTTGTTGTAACCGGACTTGGCGGAGAAGTGCAGGGCTGTCCAGGCGTTCTGTGAGGCAGGTAGAGTGAGTGAGTGAGTGAGTGAGTGAGTTGCTCCCCTTTAGGCCTACTGCAGTAATAGTACGGTCGAGGACATGAAGCGGGGACTTCCGGTTGTACATCTGAGGCAATACAACTCTCTGCCACCATTGTAAAGTTTGTCCCAAGGTACTTTGATGCAACTATATTATGTGTCTCATATGGAAAAATGAATTCAGGCAATGTTGTTTCTTTCCACCCAGGTTAGTTAATCCCATCCCTGACCCCGTCCCTTACCCCTTCCAAGACATTGATGTCCGCCCATTCCCCTTTCACACACATCAATTCATACTGCCCCTCACCCATTTTCACGAGGCAAGGGAGTTAACCGACTATAATAGTCTATTTTCCGCCCTTGCCGAACTTAGCTGGAATTCCTGGGCTCGATCATAGCACCACCAATGGCTATTACGAGTTATGACCCTTCTAAGTCACTCATACTGACAAATCAGATTCCACCTTGCATTATATCACTTGCATTTGCTTTAACCAGAATTGCGGCGCCCAGTAAAGACGATCTGATCGATAATCAAAATCTATATTGTGATAAAACGGGTGCATCAAATCACGTGGGCACCTTGATTCAAAACATGAAATCTGCACGGTAGTTTAAGAACCGGATGATTTCGTTACGCGATTTCGATTTGACTATGCAGAGACTCGTTAGTCCAGCAAAATACAACTCCATAATTCCAACCTAGTGCTGCAAGGGTGGAAACTGGACTTTTACAGTCAGTTAACTCCCTTGCCTCTAGGGGAGGCCCCTTACCCTATCACACACATTAATGTCCGCCCTTACCTTATCACAGGCATTGATATCCGCCCCCTGTCCCAAGAGGAGGGCGACCATCTCATAGTGTCCGTTAGCCGCCGCCAGGTGGAGCGCGGTGCGCCCTCTCTTGTCCTTGATGTGGAGTTGGGTGGTGGACTTGCTGAGCAGGAGGCTGACCACGGAGGAGTGACCACTCTGGGCCGCCATATGCAGTGGGATGGAGCCCTACACAACACAGAAAAGTTTACTCACTTGCGAAGGGAGAAAATTGTATTGCTATTTATATACAACTGTAACAAATGTTATATTTAGAATAAGACTTTCTAAGTAAAGTACCGATTCTCCTACTTTATTAGGTTGATGCCCATTCGGGATTCGAACCCACACTCTGTGTGCTGGCGATTAGGTGCCCCCCTCCCCCTTTAAAAAAAAGTACGAGAATCTCCACCTTACTAAGGAAATGTTTGACCATTATAGCGGGATTGTCCCCAAGATCCATATATCTCAGCTCCATCACAAATTTCGAACACATAATTAACAGATAATTGTTAAGTTCTTCTATCCGACAGTATGGAATGCCCCTCAACACCACATTTATAAATATGTATTTTAAAGAGCTGGAAAAAGACATTTTCCTTATTTTATTCACTTGGGTCTGCAGCTGCGTCTCTTACCTGTATGTTCGTGGGCGTGTCCACCTGCACCCCCGGGCAATTGAGGAGCAGTCGCACCACCCCCTCGTGTCCGGACTGGGACGCCAGATGGAGAGGGGTCAAGCCGTACTGAAAGTGTCACCATACGTATTGAATACGTCCTGTGTCTCATTACTTGCTAAAGAACACACCAACCCTTAACACTACAGATAATCATTAATGTTACTTTAATCTTCCGACGTTCAGGTGCAGCATGCGCTATCGGCAAGATAAGTCTCGATTTCTCTTTCCCTACTCTTACCTACACCTACCTTGACAGCCCCCAGACTGTGATGATCGTAATCCATCTACATTATTACATGTTGTGAACATCAAGATGTGTTTGCACAATCTCATTAAAATCAGACCTTAGTTCTTGCTACCACTAAAAGGGTCACGTAATTTCATCCGACCAATGAGAGAGTCACGTAGCAGATTGGGGAAGTGACAGACGGAATGTGATTTTTAACCTCGAAAAGGTTGATTCGGGGCATTCCCAAAAACGATTACGGCCGTACGACTGATTCCGTCAAAACTGACCAATGAAATGACTAACAAGGAGTGGACATTAGCCAATCAGAAAGAGGCTTTACGGCACTAGTTTCAAACTGGCGAATTCCATTCCAGACTACGCTTTATAAAAATACAAAGATCTCTACTCAATATTTCAAAAGTGAACAAAAGAAAATTCTTGAATGTCTAATAGATTGACGAGAAAGTATGCCTATGCAAAATCCCGTCCAATTCAAATGTATATCCCATTGAAGCGAGAGATAGACGATGCTTTTAACGGAATAAGTGTCGTTTGGAATGCCCCGTGTTAACCTTTTCGAGGTTCCATGATTAGAAACCACATAGCGACTGTCACTTCCCCATTCCGGTAAGCGACGCTCTGATTGGTCGGATGAAAGGTCGTTCTGACGTGACCCGTAACGGGACGTTCTCAAATCAAAGTATAGCGGTAGCGTGAACTAAGATCTGATTTTAATGAAATTGGATTAATTGTCCGTAACTGAAGCATTTAGTTTTCGACTGGTATTTAGAAATTTGAAGAACACACAAACTTAAAACTGTTTATGGATAGCAACTTTTGTCTCCATGTTTCAGGTCTATGTTGTGTCCATTCATTGGCCCCCAGTCGTAGCCACTGTGTCCTGCTAATCTTGCAATCTTTGTATCTTATAAAACGGCCCGGTTGTTTATAAACTGCCGGGCAAGAGAAACTATTTTTGATAGTGATTAAAATGAAACAAACAAGAAATGGTAGTCGATGGTTTTATGGAACTTTTATTTGCAGTGTATCTATCACTGTTTTCAGATTATTCACGTTTTCATAATGTTTGTAAATTGTTATCGTCAAATCCAACTTTCAAGTGTATAATTTCTTTTGCCCGTCAATTTACATGATGTGCCAATTGGATTAATTCAGTCATTAACAAAAAAGGCAAGGAATAGACCTGAAATGTTGTGACAAACAATGAACATTTTGTAATCCATGAATCATTTCATGTCTTCATTATAGTTATTGTGATAAATACGATTTCATAATTTTACTGCCTTTTAATTAACGGGTTCCAAAAATATACAGTACAAATAATAATAAATGTGTTAACAGGTAACCAAAGATTAAATTAACCAACATTAAATTAATTTCATTAAAATCTATGTAAACGGAAAGGTCTCCATGAATGCACAGCCTTATGACCGTACAGTGGACAAGGTATGTATCATATTGATTCGACGCCATGAGAAGTGCAAGACTGACATAGACTGACGCACATTGTGTGGTATATGGCCTGGTACATTGCTTACAAGCAAAATACCACATGCATAGATCCGACAATATATATGTGAAGAACGCCCAGCGCAAGTGATGCATATATTGATTTGATGGACAGTGTTTTGCAAGACAGATATACACGTGGGACTATATATATACGTGTGCTGAACAAACATGGAATGTATATACATTTGTGGTATACATAAAAGATATCTTTTCTTAAAATATACAATATATACTACTCATGCCATGACAGACTGACTATTGTAATATGTAGAAATCGGTTGGTCCTTAACCTTTTTTGAGTAATATAACTCTAGAAGAACATTGCTACCATGGCTTGGATCCACACAACCATTTAGCGCCTTCCATAACACTGACACTGACACTGCTCTAAGATTGCTTTGTGGAACCAGACCCAGGGACCACATGCACAAAGCGATTGTTGAGATCGGTTTGTGAACGTTGACCCTGGTATTTCAGACTTTTTTGAAGGTCATTCATTAATAAATTGACTTAATATCCAATATCCACAGGAACCGAAATTAAACACCATCTTCACTCATATCGGTGAGCTAAAGTTGGCGCTAAATCGTTCGCAAATGCCATTGACTGCATTTCATACACCATAAACAAGATGGCGCCTAGATCATTATGATTGTATACAATCCAATACAACACTAACCATACAATCCAATAAAATACTGACGTACAATCCAATACTTCATTACAATACCCACATACAATCCAACACAATACTCACATACAATCCAACACAATACTCACATACAATCCAACACAATACTCATCACTCAATCCAACACAATACTCATCATGTACTTCATTACAATACTCAGCCCCCCCCCCCCCCCCCCCCCCCACCCCACCCCCACCCCCCACCCCACTTTCCCCCAACGTCAAGCTGACATTCCGTGGTATTTCTGAAATACTGTTAAAAGCGGCATTTAACCAAATTCATTCACCCACTCTATGCTAAATAAGATCGGCAGGGTAGCCACGTAGCTAAAGCGTTCGCTCGTCACTCAGGTTCGATTCCCGACATGGGTACAACGTGTGCTCCGCGCAGTGATACTGCCGGAACTCACGTGACCAGCGAATTCCTTCACGCATTTCGTTGTACAAAACGATTCAAACTTTTGTCTCTAAGTCTATGAAGCTGAAATGGACACATTGTTGTATTAATACACTTAAGTGCTGCATAAACATATAGACCAACAGTGATGAGCCACAAAGTGTTCAAACAAACAACGGACAATTGTTCATTTAATCGCCACGAAACTTTTTTCAACAATTTTTGGTAGTAATTGTTCTGTCCATCAAGGCAGATAATATCGGTAGATAGATTTTGCTGCGCTCAAAGTATATGCAGGACATCTACAATAGGCAGAGAGACCATCTGGTACCTTTTCAACACAGAAGTACCAACTGGTACTTAAAACACTTGTGTCGTGTGCAGAAAGAAATTCAATTGTGACGTGTCAATTCACGTGTTACTTTAAGGACCTCCCGACTTCGTTTGATTCAATGAGTTATTTATATTTCTCAATGATAAAATATCCAAATGTTCCAGTTTTGGATCTATATTGTAAATAAAAAAACATCGTAATGTTTTTTTTTCAAAGAACAAATAATTAATTTGCAGTGGCATGTGTTATAGAGAACAATACAATGGTTATATATATATATGTATACGTTATGCAAGTTGAGCTGGTTGACATGCGTATTGAACAGGATTGACAAACATTTACACATGCTACATGTCGACACGTTTCTCACCTCACAACTGGTTGACAAAAAGTTCAACCATTTCATGGCCAGCTGGAAAACGGGAGAATCAATCTACAAGCATGCAGGGGGGACAGGTCAGGTGAGATACTCGGAACAGTCCATTTCACACACAGGTAATAATCTATCTACATTGCTAAGGAGGAAATCAGAAAAGGGTTTGGATATCCAGGAAGGGTCATGATCTATCTACAAGCTCATAGAATTGGAACGCAAGTATCTTGGAACGAACAGTTTAACTTGAAAAACTATAAAAATAAAAAATATCATTAATATGGTACATGTTTTTAAAGTTATATTTTTGAAGCTATTGGGATTAAGACAATGAAATACTGACGATTGCATTATTGGTATATCTGTTTGAAATTATGTTTGAGAAGATGAGATCTGTTTGAAATTAGGTTTGTGAAGATGAGATCTGTTTGAAATTATGTTTGTGAAGATAAAACATTATTTAATTGATAATCTATCTCATGTTGCACTTGTTTCCCACAATATATACTAGTATATATATATATATATACATAGGTTTGTGGATATGAGAAATGCATGTTAACATCGAAGGTTCCCAATTCTCACTATAATCACTACGGAATATGGGACAAGAGGACTGCATGTACTAGTCGCTATGTTTGACTCAGAACTAGACACTACAAGACTACAAGTACACGGAACCATGCTGGTTTCATTAGTCTAAACCAAGCATGCCTATGTTTTCTGCCCTAGCTAAGGAATGCATGCTAACATATTAACAACATTCAACTAATGTCATGCAACATATAAATTTCACTATAGTCCTGTCATGCTGCGCGGTACTGAGTGAAAAGATGGCTGCGATCGTCAAGAAAGTGTTTAAGACACCTTGATGTGTTCTCGTTACCTCTGAGTCTTTGATTCCACCTTCGCCATTCGGGGGTTCACTCTTGACCGTTGCTGGCACCTTGGTGAGCATCTCTCGGACAAAGTCGATCTGGCCAAAGTGGGCAGCAACGTGAAGCGCCATCAGACCAGTCTGGAGATTAGACGAGAGGGGACGAGATCAGACGAGAAAATATGAGGTTAGACGAGAGGAGACCAGTAGATAACAAACTTCAGAAAATAGGTACAATACAATGTTTGGTGCTTGTTAGGTTAACAGGGTACATATATGCTTATCTGATGAAACAGGTTTACTGGCGGTGTAATTATCACAGTTACTAAGGGAGTCAGTGCATGTTATATTAATATTAAACCCAGTCAGCAATAGTCCAGCTATATCAAGGCGGTCTATTACAATATCAAGGCTGACGAGTCTTAACTGGGCAAACCAACCGTTTATGACCGTAAAATCGCACACAACTGTCAAGTGACACATTGTAACCACCTGACCCTTCAATAATTGACTTTCACTTTGTGTGAGTTCATTGGAGTATGAACCTTCATAGAGTGAAGGCCAAATTGTATGAGCTTGCGACAATGTTTGGCCCTCACTCTATGAAGGTTCATGCTCCCATGAACTCACGCAAAGTGAAAGTCAATTCTTATATTTTTTCACTTCACTATTACCTCGAAGGAAGTAGGTCTAGATCTATACACAATTTTATTTAGTATCTAGATCTTTATGTGTGACTTCATGTTTACACTGACAGCCATACAAGAATCAGCTGTATCGCGGAATAAAATAGTTCCTCAAAAAGAGAGGTGACATGAGCGTATGTATGCTCAACATGCTCTACAGGAACATCTGTTGTTCTTTGTTTACATAAATGTATTCAATAATATCATTTTTGGAGGAGAAGGAATGTTTAGAACTGCCTCAGTAAGTCAGTCAAAATGACAGCGCGTCGTAATACATTTACTTCAAGTACAGGATGTCAAAATGACCGACACGAGAAATCTGACGGGAGAGAAGTTAATGAACCTGTGGCGGTTACATTTGTTGGTCACCATTGATCAATTGGCCGATCATTGAAAGGTGATTATAAAAATGTCTCGAACAGATACTGAGGTAGATTCATAGATTGCTGTAGACTGACACAGATCAAGTCGATACAACGATAGATTGGATGTGCATTTCTTTGTTTTGTTCACTAGTGACTAGGATGGGTCGAAGCGAGGATATTAGTGAACAATCTTGCAAAACACCCTGGCATTTCTTAATGTATCTCAAAACGTTGAGTTTGAGATTTAAATAAGGTCCTAAATGGTCAAAAACAACGCTTCTGTGTGTATTGCTGCTAGTGATTTCCTAGGGGTTCCCAGTTGAATGTGAACGTAGTCCGTCAGTGTTGACGTCATATCCAGGATAGTCTCGTGGCGCTGTCATGTGACCGACCTCTCGTCCTATGGAAAAGCCGTCGTGTAAACTTTACATTAAAAGATTAGATGATGTTGGTAGCTCACTTTCTTGCTTGTGGTCTTGAACGACACCCTGCCCTTGAGAACATCAAGTACGGGGACATGGCCATGTTTGGCCGCCAGGTGTATGGCCGTCATCCCATCCTGCAGCACAGAGTTAGATTTCTCAACAGTAACAACCAGGTCACATCAACACCCACGCTAATCCCAAACGCCAATACCAAGATATGTGAAACTTTCACTGTCACTGACTAAAACCATTAGTCACATGTAACCAGAACATAATCCTTGGTCCCTTTATAACAACACTGATATTACCGTTTAACATTTCTCTAAAGTTTCGACTTGAGTATCACCTATTTCAGAGTATTTACTTGCTTTAATAACCATTTACATTAAAGGCATCACATAAAACTGACGAATATGTATATTCTTTTTAGATTAAAGCGATGCTCTCTACTCTCGCCACCCTTACCCCGTTCTCGTCTGTGGGGGATGCGCCCGCCTCCAGCAGGGCCTGCACCACCGCCTTGTGACCCCCCGCAGCCGCCAGATGTAGAGCCTGGGAGTCGTTGGTCTGTCAGGGAGAGAGACGTCACCATGGTAACAGTAAAGAGGGAATGTGTAGCCAGGGAATGTGTTTTTCCACACTCATGGGATTGCGATGTCTCATGACTCGACTCAACATATGTCTTAAAAATGAATTTTACCTGACCTCCATCATCATACGTCTTAGTAATGAATGGTACATGACTTTACTCAACATACGTCTTAATAATGAATGTTACATGACTTTACTCAGCATACGTCTTAATAATGAATGTTACATGACTTTACTCAACATACGTCTTAATAATGAATGTTACATGGCTTTACTCAACATACGTCTTAATAATGAATGTTACATGACTTTACTCAACACACGTCTTAATAATGAATGTTACATGGCTTCTCTCAACATACGTCTTAATAATGAATGTTACATGGCTTCTCTCAACATAAGTCTTAATAATGAATGTTACATGACTTTACTCAACATACGTCTTAAAAATGAATGTTACATGGCTTCGCCCAACATACGTCTTAATAATGAATGTTTCATGGCATCGCTCAACATACGTCTTAATAATGAATGTTACATGGCTTCTCTCAACATACGTCTTAATAATGAATGTTACATGGCTTCGCCCAACATACGTCTTAATAATGAATGTTTCATGGCATCGCTCAACATACGTCTTAATAATGAATGTTACATGGCTTCTCTCAACATACGTCTTAATAATGAATGTTACATGGCTTCTCTCAACATAAGTCTTAATGATGAATGTTACATGACTTTACTCAACATACGTCTTAAAAATGAATGTTACATGGCTTCGCTCAACATACGTCTTAATAATGGGTGTTACATGATTTCACCCAACATACGTCTTTTTAATGGAATGTGACAATATTTCACTTAACATACGTCTTAACAATGGGATGAAACATTACATTCTTTATAGCAGATATAACAAAATAAAATTTTATACACTTTTATTGGTCATTTATGACATTGCATTAAAAGAGTTTCAAAACGTGAACTACAATCCGACAGGACCAAAGGCGACCTGCCACCTACCCTGTTCCTGGCCGTGGTCACGATGTGTTTATTGAAGCGCATCAGCTCCTTCACTACGGCAACGCTACCCTTGGCCGCAGCAATGTGGGCACACGTCATGCCGTTCTGGAAACAAAGGTCACGTGGTCAGAACAATACCCAATCAGAGAACAAGCTGCACGACCCTGTGTCAGCTGGCACGTTCTACACAAGAATCCATCTTCTCGTAATTAAAAAGTAATGTTTCTGGATATCCTATTTTTTCTGTCACTGGTATTTCCTAATATGTACAATTTATGTCACATTGGAATATGTTGTTGAAGAATTAAAATGTCTCAGTTACACAAATATTTTCTTGATAAAACTTTCCCCCTTATGTGAGACAAACAACGTCTCGTACTTATGCCCATGATACATATATAGCGTAAAACATGTAAGTCTCATCTGGATCCTACGTTAAGTGATATCTAAACTATTCACACATGACGTTTCTATACACTGTTCAGTTCCAGTTTGGACAGAACAACAAACGTGTTGCAAACGCTATATCAACATCACACAATCGGATCTGTTTAAGATGTATAGATCAGAGATCTGTTTTAACCTCAAATGCGTGTAGTAAAGACGGTTGAGAGTTAAAGATGGCATCGTCTCTTGATGAAGGGAGGGGCATGCTTTATAGACTTGCTTTGTCTTGTTAATCGCAATGTTCAGTCTCGCAATAACGGCACATCCTTGATATGCGCTTCAACGTTTGAGACGAGGCCATCTTCAAGAAGTTTAGAAAAGGCGACAGTTCAATAAGGAATTGTGAAGAGTTATTAACGTAGATGATAACATTATTACAACATTTGATATATGTTATGCCTTCAAATTCTTCCTTTGTAATTATTTCTGAAACAAATGTGTTGTGAACATGGAATAATAAAACACGACATAAATAAACACGTTTCTACACATGGATGCCTGTGTCCGACCTATCAAGCAATAGCATTCTATCTACGACGATCTACGCCATCCTCGCCAGTCAGGGCTACATTTATAACACCTACAAAATCACACTGGGTCTAATCACGGTAGTTTCACGTCGAAAAACGACAGGAATCCCTCTACCCAACCAAAACATTTCCACACACGTGCATTGTAGGCGTTTCCATAGGGCAATCCGGTCGTTTTCCGCTCGCTCCTACTAGTTCCATGATATTGTTATAGCAACGCCCTGTATGAAAATGGATGGATGACAACCAGCTACACAGATTTAGTACAGATAAAGGTTTCTACAGTTAACTACTAACCAATTCAGATTTCAATGTTTACGCACATCTTTCTACACACAGTTTGAAGAAAAGGGAAACTGTAAGTGATTGACAGAGAAAAACACGTTTAGATTTCTATTCACCCAGTAAGATAGAGTCTTTGAAGCAAATATTGGCAAATGAAAGGCGAAGAGCAGTTGTTCGAAAGTGGGAGAGTCTCCAGGGAATAAAGTCCACAGCTGTGGAGAGTGACAGCATGTATGAGGTAAAGAGAGACAGTCAGCCCTGGAGTAGTCACTATATAGAAGGATCGAAAGTAGACAGTTATATAGGCCACTATTTATAGGGAGCATAACTAGGTATATGTGTAGGTAAATATTTAGATGTAGCTAAAGCTATCCATATATGTAGGTAAATATTTAGATGGAGCTTAACTGGGCATGAGTGTTGGTAAATATTTAGATGGAGCTTAACTGGGCATGAGTGTTGGTAAATATTTAGATGGAGCTTAACTGGGCATGTGTGTTGGTAAATATTTAGATGGAGCTTAACTGGGCATGAGTGTTGGTAAATATTTAGATGTAGCATAAATAGGCATGTATTTAGGTAAATTTGTAGATGTAGTAAAATAGGCATGTATGTAGGTGAAAATTTAGATGTAGCACCAATAGGATGTATGTAGGTAAATATTTAGATGTAGCATAACAAGGCATGTATGTAGGTAAATGTGTAGATGTAGCATAAATAGGATATATGTAGGTAAATGTGTAGATGTAGCATAAATAGGCATGTATGTAGGTAAATATTTCGATGTAGCATAAATAGGATATATGTTGGTAAATGTGTAGATGAAGCATAAATAGGCATGTATGTAGGTAAATATTTCGATGTAGCATCAATAGGCATGCATGTAGGTCAATATTTAGATGTAGCATAACAAGGCATGTATGTAGGTAAATGTGTAGATGTAGCATAAATAGGCATGTATGTAGGTAAATATTTAGATGTAGCACCAATAGGCATTTATGTAGGTAAATATTTAGATGTAGCATAACAAGGCATGTATGTAGGTAAATATTTAGATGTAGCATAAATAGGATATATGTAGGTAAATGTGTAGATGAAGCATAACAAGGCATGTATGTAGGTAAATGTGTAGATGTAGCATAAATAGGCATGTATGTAGGTAAATATTTCGATGTAGCATCAATAGGCATTTATGTAGGTAAATATTTAGATGTAGCATATCAAGGCATGTATGTAGGTAAATATTTAGATGTAGCATAAATAGGCATGTATGTAGGTCAATGTGTAGATGTAGCATAAATAGGCATGTATGTAGGTAAATATTTAGATGTAGCATATATAGGATATATGTAGGTAAATATTTAGATGTAGCATAAATAGGATATATGTAGGTAAATATTTAGATGTAGCATAAATAGGCATGTATGTAGGTAAATGTGTAGATGTAGCATAAATAGGCATGTATGTAGGTAAATATTTAGATGTAGCATAACAAGGCATGTATGTAGGTAAATATTTAGATGGAGCATAAATAGGATATATGTTGGTAAATGTGTAGATGTAGCATAAATAGGATATATGTAGGTAAATGTGTAGATGAAGCATAACAAGGCATGTATGTAGGTAAATGTGTAGATGTAGCATAAATAGGCATGTATGTAGGTAAATATTTCGATGTAGCATCAATAGGCATGCATGTAGGTAAATATTTAGATGTAGCATAACACGGCATGTATGTAGGTAAATGTTTAGATGTAGCATAACAAGGCATGTATGTAGGTAAATATTTAGATGTAGCATAACAAGGCATGTATGTAGGTAAATATTTAGATGTAGCATAAATAGGCATGTATGTAGGTAAATATTTAGATGTAGCACAAATAGGCATTTATGTAGGTAAATATTTAGATGTAGCATAACAAGGCATGTATGTAGGTAAATGTGTAGATGTAGCATAACAAGGCATGTATGTAGGTAAACATGTAGATGTTGCATAAATATGAATTTATGTAGGTAAATATTTAGATGTAGTATGAATAGGCATGTATGTAGGTAAATGTGTTTAGTGAAAGTGTAAGTGTAACAGTATAGTCTGAAAGGTTATGTTTGAGAAAAAATTAGTTGAACAAATCGATAGATAGGTGATTTCACGAATAGAGGAGTACATGTATGCAGGGTCCTCTTCACGGATGGATGGACGGACGGATGGAGGGATAGATGGATAGCTCGAAACATCTATACATGTAAACATATACATGACAGATGGACATTGGGTACGTACGTACTTAGAAATATGTTCATGTGTTGTTACACAAAAGCTAAATGGAAGATGTACTGGACAGATATAGCCTGGTCGTTGTAGATAGAGTGAGTGAGTGGGTGAGTTGGGTTTAACGCCGCTTAGAACAGTATTCCAGTTATATCACGGCGTGATGGACGGATTGATGGATAGAGTGAGTGAGCGAGTGAATGAGTTGGGTTTAACGCCGCTTAGAACAGTATTCCAGTTATATCATGGCGTGATGGACGGATTGATAGAGTGAGTGAGTGAGTGAGTGAGTGAATGAGTTGGGTTTAACGCCGCTTAGAACAGAACCCACAATCATAGGCATCTTGCACTTGTACTCTGCACAGGGATAGACAGACAGACAGACAGACAGACAGAAGGTAAAAGATTCTAGTTAAAAGGCCACTGCAAACTTCACAAATATTATAAACAGGGAAGACTCTGAGGATTAATTAAATAACACTCTAGATTTTGCGCTCATCATGTTTATGCCAACACCTTTTTCATTTCAATAGTTGCTTTGAAACATAATGAACATTAGTTTTACTACAAGAGTTTTCTTTAAAGAAAAAATATATCCTAAATATAGTACCCCGAAAAGAAGTTCACTGTAACACGGATACTATACAATATCTACAGGTGGTATAACGGTGTACCATATACCATATTTAACACACATGAACAAATGAATTCACGTCTAATACTTCCTGGTAACACTAACCATCTAATACATGCGTCACATGATTAAAACATTAAAATAAACACTATACTCTCATAAATACATGGTACTACGGTTCATGGTCATCTATGCACAACGCAGCGTCGATAGATAAGTATATACTTACTTCATCCTGTGTGATTGGCACGTACAGTGAAAGACATATATAGATTGAGGCACAACATCACCTGCTAGTGTTAGTAGTGTTAGTGCTATATATACGATAGATGGTTATATACCGATGAGTGGAAATTGTGGCCATATATACAGAATCAGGAACGGTTATATAGTCAGCACTTAGTACGATTATATATAATACAGAAAGATACACAAAGGTCACACCTTGCGTGTAATTGAAACCATGACGTTATCGAAACAGCTTTAGCTGGGACAACGTTTATCCCGAAAAATCGTGTCTTCGGGCAAAACATCAAGCATTGTTTTTGAAGCAGTATTTGTTGAAATAAAAAACCATCAAATTCGCATTTTAGATGTAGTTTTGATCTGGGTGGTTGAATTATTCCAGATAACGTGGTTGGAGCTAACGAACATACTTCGCTAGATATGTCTGTATAAACGAGTCAACAGGTTTCAAGTACACATATGGTGTGTTGCGAAGTTGATGGTTATATGGTGAGATTTTAGAGATGCCACATTATATATTTGCATTCCATCTGTGTTGTTTTAGTATCAATATACCTGCATTACAAAAGCATAACGGTAGCACACTTCAACACACAACTATATTGCTGTTAGTAGCACGCATACCTGGCATTTCTAACTATTAAAAGCACAGAATGACGTCACTAGTTGTTATCAAATGACAAAATACCTGAAATTTCTAACTGTTAGTAGCAACGAATGACGTCACTAGTTATTAAATGACAAAAGAGATAACATTTCTAACCGCGAGAAGCAAAAAATGACGTCATTAGTTGTTATCAAATGATAAAATACTCGACATTGCTAGGTAAGTATAATAGAATGACGTCTCTAGTTGTTATCAAATGATAAAATACTCGACATTGCTAAGTAAGTAGATAATGACGTCATTAGTTCATATTAAACGAAAGAAAAATCTTACATTTCTAAATGTTAGTCGCAAAGAATGACGTCAATAGTTATCATTAAACGAAAGAGTACCTGACATGTCTACCTGCCAGTACAACAGAGTCATGACTAAACACAAACCATGAAGATTTCATTATCAAGAAGTTCTTAACCATAATACTGCATGTCATGACTACTGTTGCTGGTAATGAAACCCCTAGTAGCATGAATACAAATTAACCGACTCTCCATAAGTAAGTAACGTCACTTAAGAACAAAATACATGACCTTTCCAATTGTTAGTACACAGACGCCTATATACATTCTACAAACTGCAAGGATAGGGTTAGTGTCAAAAGACGTTGATAGCAATTCACCACAGAACATATTCTATTAGCGTTAGTATGACATACACTATATTATTAGTGTCTTCTAGTGTGACTAGGGTATCAGAATGTTACCGGAATACCCACAATAACAGTCCCGTTAACAAGACCGGGGTAAGTGTTACACAAACCGTTACTTACAGTGTTGGCCATAGTAACCAGTTCTGGGCGGTACTTGAGGAAGAGTTTCACAACGTCCGAGTGGTCACTTTCAGCCGCCAGATGGAGCGGTGTTTGTCCTCGCTGGAGAGTAATACGTTACAGTGAGTTAGTTTTTTAACAGTATTTCATTTATATCCCAGCGTGTCAGCTTGATGTTGCAGTGAAGACGGTTATTACATAATGGAGACAGCATGAGAAGCTGTTGATTCCTGAAGAGGTATGAACGAGACTAAGACTAAGAGGTAAGACTTCTCAGACTTAAAATCATGGTATGGTTGAGGTTGATGTATAATGTCTCGTATATTTTGCATAATCACATATCGTTGCGTCATTTTTAGATTTCAGAATGGCCAGTGATTTCCTGACTCAATAAATTGCAACTACAATAGCCTTACGTCATCACAATGGTGTAATTGGATGAAACCCATGAGCACTGGTTCAGTGTCTAGAAACATAAGATCGAACATAGGATTCGGGCACGTCTAAGGGACGTAATTCAGCACAGCGAATCAAGGCACATTAGACATTAAACATGATAATACCATAGGGATAAACATTAGCACCAATAAACATGCTATTTCAGAACTAAGGAAGTTGTTTTCACTTCTCGGACCATATGACTGAGTGGGGTATTTTTTTTAAACTGCGGCATATCTCAGTGGGCTAGCACTATAAAATCGGCACTAGTCCGGACTAGTACAAGCAGCCACACGCACGCACGCACATATTACTGAAAACGGCTACGACCGAATTAACGGAGTTTAGTTGTCTTTTTGATGTTTTGCCTGTTAGTTTCAATAGAGCCCTTCAATGGATAACTGCTGAACCCTCCACTGGTCCAGCATGGCAATCCGGATCTTGTCGGTGTACTCCAAGGACAGTTTTTCCAACCACTCTTACTCTCGAAATATATTTATTTTACAAAAAACTGTCTCAGTTATGGTTGACACTTTGTGACTATACCCTTCCAGGCCGTTACCTCGTCTGTAGCGTTGGGGTCCGCCTTTATCTTGAGGAGGGTGCTGCACACCTCCATCTGACCGCTCTGAGCCGCCATGTGAAGAGGCGTCTTCTTGGCCTGGGGACAGGGGTCAGAAGAGCTAGAGTGATGCTTGGGTAAAGCACTAAGGCTAGTTGGATGTATTCTTCAAATTAAATTTCATCTCCTTTTCAGATTTAGAACTAATAATAAAATGACTAATTTCAAATAATTGTGATTCTCTTTCATATCTATATTAGATTGAATTTTAGAAAGCATATGAGTTATATGCCATCACATTATCCTCCCATCTTAAAATATATTTTTTATTTTAGGAATATTACAAAATAAAGTTTGCTTTCTTTTCACACATTAGGCATGTAAAATGAAGAAATTAGAGGTGACTACATACCAGAGAGAGAGCGTCAATGGTGGCGTTGTGTGTCTCAATGAGGAGTTTCACCAACTTGTTGTAGCCGTTCTGTGCCGCCAGATGGAGTGGCGTGAAGCCCTGCTTGGACTTGGCGTTGACGAAGGCTTTGTGCCACAACAGAACATCGGCAACCTGATCATGGCCGTTCTCTCCGGCCAGATGGAGCGCTGCCTTGCCGTGCTGAGGACGGGATGGAAATAGGATGAATGAGTGAGCATGGTTCTATGCTGCAATACTGTGACGGGGTGGGACAGAAATGGGCTTCACCAATGTCCGAATGTGAACACTTGAGCCCGGATCTTCGATTACAATCACTCTATTCAGATACCCAAGATGATCAAACAAACATCATGCTGGTATGTTTAGTGAAACACGTTGTATCTTTAACATATATTCAAATAACTGTATAAATGGATTTGGTTGGAGTTATTTGTCAATAATTTGTAAAACACAAAAATCAAAGCACACAATATTAATGCAAACGGTTAATTCCTTAGGCGTTTTCTTATTCTTATTTCAAACTAATATAATGTAAACTAATGTCAGACAAACCAAAGACACACAACACTGAAGACATCCTGTGATGCGCGATAGATGTTTACATACTTCCTGTCATGCGCAGTAGGTGCTTGCATACATGCACCATGTTGTGCGCAGTTCTTGGTTACATGCATCCAGTTTTTCGTGATAGGTGATTAAGGTGGGTACACACATCCTGTCATGCGCAGTAGGTGTTTACGTACACCCTATTCAGTGTCCTACCTCATCGAACACGTCCACCCTGGCGTGGTTCTTCAACAGGATCTTGACTATTTCCAGGTGACCCTGCTCACTGGCTACCAACAGCGGAGACATGGAGTTCTGGAAGGAAGGCGGTAAGCTCAGCCCTGTTTAATCTCAATGTTGTGGACATATTGAAGGACGCACACGCGCGCACAGATAGTTAGACAAGTTTGTTCAATATCAGCTCAGAATATACATAATATATTATTTGTGCACCTGCATATACAATTATACAAGTAAACGCATCACAGCAATTCAGAAACTGGATGAATTTATATTTGGTTAGATGCACATGGTAATTGGTGGGCATTGTTTTTGAAAGGCATTTAGAAGTGATACACTTAAGGAAGAGAATTTATGCATGTCAACTTATTATGAGGAACACAACGTCGCGGAGTATATACTTACTCCTTCTTTAGGTGAATGAAGGAGTAAGTATAATTATACACAGAAACGTTGTTTTCTCTTCCTTAAAGGAATATGTTCTTATCTACTTTAGTATGTACGATATAAACTCGTATTAAGGGATCACTCATTTGAATAAGATATTTTTCATCTGATATACTTTGGGTATTGTATAGTACTGTTGTACATGCCACGGTCAGATTAAATGCTGTCTGTCAGGTTTAAAGTGAACTTTACGGTGCTCATTGAGGTGGCTATTGTGTGGACGTGTGCGTGTGCTACCTTGGCTTGTTTGTTGACGGCGACCTGCAAACTGCTGGCTTCGATGTGTTTCACGATCTCTAGCATGACGTCCTCATTTCCGGCGCGGGCACAGTAGTGAAGTCCGGTCTCGTGGGTCTGGGGGAGGGGAGATAACTTCTCTCATACACCATCATCAACATCATCAACAATAAAACTGACATTCAATTTTTAATTTCAGTCAAATCCATTTTAAATGTAACCTGAAATAGTTAATCGTGAGCGCCAAGAACCAATATACGACCACAGCGCCTTAATAAATTGTATGACTTTATATGATGTATTTTAAAAAATATAATATGTGTTGTTATATTCTTCAACTGAGCTCTACTTATAATTAATGAATAATGCAAAAATGAATGGCGCAGCATCATCACTTTCTCACCAGTTTGGTCTGCAGATTGGTGTCGCCATCAAACTCCAGCATCAGCTTCATCATGTCGGAGTCCTCGAACTCGTCGTGCGCCATGTTCTTCGTCAACTCGGCAGCGTAGTGTACCGGCGTCTCCCCCTCCTGCCAACATCACGACGTCAGCATTAACAAACATATTTCACTCCCCAACCTCGGGTATCTTACATACATGTAAGTTACATATTAATATCTAAAATAATGATCTCACTTTCGAGGATAATAGCTGTTTTGGTGACTACTTCTAGTATATTTGACGCGAATATCTCCTATGTTTACGGTTAGAATGCCTTGTATGTCTCTGTATAAAGACAGAAACAGCTCCCACAGTAAATAATTACTCTCCATGTTTAATTGGAAAAGTCTATTATATGTTCGTACTTTTCCCCCAAATCGCAAGATTATTTTAATGTTATTTTCACATTCACGAAGACGGGAGGATTGTACATGTTTCGTGATCTTTACAAAACTACACAACTGTGAGTTTTCTGATTTTCCGAGACTAGGGAAGACCGCATAACGTAAGGAATGGTTTTGTGACCCCCAGGACTTGACCAAACGCAATGTACGTACAAAGTTTTGCTGGTTGACCATCATGACGGCGTCAATCCGGGACTTCTCCTGACAGACGAAACGGAGGATCTCGGCCGCCACGGACAGGTGACAGTAGCGCACCGCCACATGGAGGGCAGTTTCCCCCGCCTGCAGCAGACAATGGGTAAACATCGTCACAGTAGTGACTGAATCAAGAAGAGACTACAGCCGAGAGGGAAAACTCATGGAGGGGAACACACGACATCCACACTGTCCCATTGAAACACACGACATCCACACTGTCCCATTGAAACGCACGACATCCACACTGTCCCATTGAAACACACGACGTCCATACCATCCCATTGGAACACACGACAACCATACTGTCCCATTGGAACACACGACGTCCACACTGTCCCATTGGAACACACGACGTCCACACTGTCCCATTGGAACACACGAGGTCCACACTGTCCCATTGGAACACACGACATCCACACTGTCGAATTGGAACACACGAAAACCACACTGTCCGATGGGAACACACGACGTCCACACTGTCCCATTGGAACACATGGCATCCACACTGTCCCATTGGAACACACGGCATCCACACTGTCCCATTGGAACACACGACATCCATACTGTCCCATTGGAACACACGGCATCCATACTGTCCCATTGGAACACACGGCATCCACACTGTCCCATTGGAACACACGGTATCCATACTGTCCCATTGGAACACATGGCATCCACACTGTCCCATTGGAACACACGGCATCCATACTGTCCCATTGGAACACACGACATCCATACTGTCCGATTGGAACACACGACATCCATACTGTCCCATTGGAACACACGGCATCAACACTGTCCCATTAGAACACACGACGTCCACACTGTCCCATTGGAACACACGACATCCATACTGTCCCATTGGAACACACGGCATCCATACTGTCCCATTGGAACACACGACATCCATACTGTCCCATTGGAACACACGACATCCATACTGTCCCATTGGAACACACGGTATCCATACTGTCCCATTGGAACACACGGCATCCACACTTTCCCATTGGAACACACGGCATCCATACTGTCCCATTGGAACACACGACAACCATACTGTCCCATTGGAACACACGACAACCATACTGTCCCATTGGAACACACGACAACCATACTGTCCCATTGGAACACACGACATCCATACTGTCCCATTGGAACACACGGCATCCATACTGTCCCATTGGAACACATGGCATCCACACTGTCCCATTGGAACATGCGAAATCCATACTGTCCCATTGGAACACACGACCTCCACACTGTCCCATTGGAACACACGACATCCACACTGTCCCATTGGAACACACGACAACCATACTGTCCCACTCGAACACGCGACGTCCATACTGTCCCACTGGAACACGCGATGTCCATACTGTCCCATTGGAACACACGACGTCCACACTGTCCCATTGGAACACACGACAACCATACTGTCCTATTGGAGCACACGACATCCATACTGTCCCATTGGAACACACGACATCCACACTGTCCTATTGAAGCACACGACGTCCACACTGTCCCATTGGAACACACGACATCCATACTGTCCCATTGGAACACACGACGTCCACACTGTCCCATTGGAACACACGACGTCCACACTGTCCCATTGGAACACACGACAACCATACTGTCCTATTGGAGCACACGACATCCATAGTGTCCCATTGGAACACACGTCGGCCACACTGTCCCATTGGAACACACGACATCCATATATCCCATTGGAACACACGACGTCACCACTGTCCCACTGGAACAGACGACATCCACACTGTCCCATTGGAGCAAACGGCGTCCACACTGTCTCATTGGAACAACGTGTTTCTAAATGTGTCATCCAATGAATGTAAACCATGTCCCGCCTTGACCAACCTTGACCCGCCTTAACCCACCTTGACCCACCGTGACCCTCCACGACCCACCTTGACCTATCATGACCCACCTTGACACGCCTGATAATGACAATGATAACTTTGTTAACATCACTCTCTCCCTCAGTCACCCCATTCCCCCTTCTCTCAAACACTCACTCACCTTGGAGTGTTGTAGCGGGTCTGAGCCCTCATCCAGGAGTGACGTCACCATCTTGATGTGGCCGTATCGTGCAGCTATGTGGAGGGCGGTCTCACCGTTCTGGCAATACAAGGACAAATGTGCAGCTATACCGTCATATGTCAAGCACTGATGCTTCATATCCCCATAATTAACTCTCCAAACGGGCATCGCCAGTTGCAAATAATATATGGTCGATTGCTATTTGTGGTCTTACTGGTGGGAATTCCATTGTGACGTAGTTAGGTTATGTGTTCTTTTGGCCTTGTGGCCTTTAGATATGGACAGATGACGCCCTGTAACAATATTTATTATTAATAGTCTTATTGTACATGACATGATAAACAAGATTTCCATCTGTATAGTACCACCTTAAGTATCCCTGTCGTTGACGTAGTTGTGACGTCATTACCTCTCTTGTGGCGTTGACATTGGCCCCCGACCTGAGCAGCATCTCGCCACACTTCTCCCCCTCCACCGTCCTGGCCGCGATGTGCAGGGGGGTCTCGAACACCTGCAGGGGTCAAGAATTACATTGCGTTTTTAAAGGTCAACGTTTACGTACATATTGGAGTTTCATAAATACGGTATTACTAAACAAATTAATGAGTGGGTTTAACGCCACTTTGAACGGTATTCCACTTATATCAAGGCGTGTCAGCTTGATGTGGAAAGAAAGCCCGAAGTGATGCAGGTCTCAGACGTTTACCACTTCGGTGAAACCCCCTCGTTTGGGTTGGTGCTGACAAACCTAAAAACATAATCAGGACAAACCGGCATTACAACCCACGTAAATTTCTGGCACGCCCAAGGGACGCAACAAACCTAAAAACATAATCAGGACAAACCGGCATTACAACCCACGTTAATAGATTTCTGGCACGCCCAAGGGACGCAACTCTGCACAGTGAATTGAGGTCCACTAGGCCACCCGTGGCGCCAGAACACAATGAAGTGATGCGAAGCGAGACGAAACAAGCCTTGAAGGTGTAACTGAACAGGCTCAGAGGCTCCTGTACTCATGACGCTGTACAATTAATGTTACAAATACACACTCTCAGTGCTTTAACAGTACTTTTAAAGACAATATTGAAACGCAAACAGCAGCGCCGTCAATGTACGTCCATATTTGTCACTGCATCCTACCTCTCCTCCCTTCAGCTCCACCTGCGCACCGTATCCTAGCAACGTCTGGACCACCTGTGGCTTGCAGTGTTCCACCGCCACGTGGAGAGCCGTGGATCCGTCCTAAAACAAACAGGGATGAGGGTAAGCTCCACCATCTTCATGGCATTAATGCTGACAAAGACTAAACATACCAGTCTTGGTCGCTGGATGACAAAGTGGAATGTTCTGTGCTAAAACCTAAAACTCAGGAATCTCAGAATCTTCGAGCCATTCGGAGGAACCTTACGATGTCAAAGACATGGAGTACTCCCCAGATAACTTAATAGTGTGCTCACCAGCGACAAAGACCTAAGTAAGTTTATAATGGCCTGGTTTCTTGATACACCAGTAAGCACAATGAAGGCAACCCACGGTAAGGTGTAGTGTTAGTGTTTGGTAGTCACTCTTACCTTGGTTTTGGTGTCAACCGGCGCGCCTTTCTGCAGCAAGGCCTTCACCACGGCTGTGTGTCCCTTCATGGCCGCCGCGTGGAGGCAGATGGCGCCCGACTGAAACACACGGGGGTAGTATTGTGTGAGAGTAGATACTGTGGAGACACACATGAACACTGTTGTCTGGATATATACTACTACTGTAGAAAGACACAATCAGTATTATCAGAAAGGTGAATACACGCCCTGGTTTGAGGAACATCTGTCTTACTATGCCCTTTGAGAGAAACACCCGTACAATTAAATTCAATTCAATTCTTTATTGTATGAAAGGCCACAGGCCCATATACAACGAAGTTACATAACATATTTTATTAGACACAAAGTCAAGGTAACAATTCACTTCGTAACAAAAACGCATGATGTACGTAAAAAGCCAGTTGATGTTGTGTTAGAAGATCTGTGCAGGACAGTAATGAAGACAATGTTATAGCATTAACATGAGATAAAGACCACTGCGGTAAGTACATGTTTCTCACATGTTCGTATATAGGGCAAATAAACATAAAATGGTATTCATCTTCGACAACAATATCACAGAATGGTCATAACCTGAGGGGTTTCTCAACAGATGAAAATCTTCCTGTGTTAACTTTTAGATCATTCAGGCCAAGTCTAAAACGAATAATGTCACGATAATCCCTGTTCCAAACTGTGCAAACAAGGACAATGGATGCATCAACTAGTTCCACATTCTTAGCTCTAAATATTTTGTTGTTATAACTACTACGAAATCGTTTGAGACAAACAATGATAATCCTTTAAGATTATTTCATTGTCCCGTTCGGCTACCTGCTTCACAACTGCAAAGCGGATTATCAATGTCAATGGTACTTTGATGTTGATGTTGATGATTTTGATTGATGTTTTTGTTGATGATGTGAATACTTCTCTTCAATGCATACCTTGTTTGGCATCTGTAGAGGCACGCCCTTCTTGAGGAAGGCAAGGGCTGTGTCTGGGTGTCCGAACTGTGAGGCGATGTGCATCAGAGTACTGCCGTCCTTTGTCCTCGCGGACACAGAGGACTTGAACTTGTCCACCAGGAGCTCCACGATGTGCGAGTTGCCCCTCTCAGCCGCGATGTGAAGCGGGGTCCTGTCGAACTGCAAACACATTGCCAGATATACAGCAAGCCTCCTTATATCGTTTTTAAAAGACGATTTCACTTCGTGGTCCTGCAGGAATCAGCTAATATAGACCTCCGTTTCTCTTGACAAAATGCCAATTCTGTGGTCCCAGTGACTTTGAGGTAACAAGCTAACACTATATATACCTCGACTATCATGTATATCATATCTCCATTCTATTGTGATATACACCTGGAATAATCACCATAGCTTCGGATGTGATGTTCCAACTTCATTATCACCAACTAAAGAATTGTCTCCCTTTCATGAGCAGGACTATGGGTTAATGCTTGTTGCTTGTTTGTTGTTTAACGTCGCATTCAGCAATATTCCAGCTATATGACGGCGGTCTGTAAATAATCGAGTGTGGATCAGACAATCCAGTGATTGATGTCACGAGCATCCATCTACGCAATTTAGATACTATGACATGCATCTACCAAGTCAACCAGCCTGACCACCCGATCCCGTTAGTCGCCTTTTACGACAAGCATGGGTTGCTGAAGACCTATTATACCCCGGATCTTCATGGGTCCTTTGGGGTAACGAGTCTGGGTTCACACCGTTTATGCATCCTCGGCTATCTCGAGTCAGTATCATATAAATGGGGTTTAACGTCGCGTTCAAGATTCTTACACATATATAGTGACGTACATGCACGTGTGCGTGCTTCTACTGGTCCGGACTTATGCCTGTGTTATAGTGCTGAGATAGCATGCTGCAGAGTAGCATGAATATCCCACTCAGACACACTATACCAACTCCGAGCCGACCAGTCCATGTTGTAGCCCCTTGATGCCGAATGTAAGGCAGGGTAACAACAAGTATCATATTTTAACGTCTTTTGGTATGACGCGTCCGGGATCGAACCACAGGCGTTCCACTGTCCGGGCATTCGCTCCATCCACAGAGGCAGTCTTGGTAGAGTTGACAATGTGTTTTATGTGATAATATGACTCGAGTAGCAACAATGGCTGTCCAGTTCGAGGGGTTACAAATATGCTATGTGATTTATAGATGTCTTCACCAAGCGACTTTTAAATACTATCGACTTTGATTTCGAATATGACATTCATGGAAATATATTCTTAGACGTGTGAGTATTTTCGTATAAAAAATCCAATTCTTATTGCGCTATTTACGTTGTCGGGCGTGTTTGGATTGGCCTTCATGTTGTAGAGGAACTTCACCAATGGCTCGTCTCCTTCCCAGGCCGCTAGGTGGAGTGCCGTGTGACCTTCAGTCTGGAAACAATGTGACACATGTTATATAGGTCTATCTCCAATGTTGAGACCAAGAACGTTACATATATTCATAAACACATACTTATCATCCCTATTTGATAGTGATTCATAAACACATACTTACCTTCCCTATTTGATAGTTATTCATAGACACATACTTACCTTCCCTATTTGATAGGGATTCATAAACACATACTTACCTTCCCTATTTGATAGTGATTCATAAACACATACTTATCTTCCCTATTTGATAGTGATTCATAAACACATACTTATCTTCCCTATTTGATAGTGATTCATAAACACATACTTACCTTCCCTATTTGATAGTTATTCATAGACACATACTTACCTTCCCTATTTGATAGTGATTCATAGACACATACTTACCTTCCCTATTTGATAGGGATTCATAAACACATACTTACCTTCCCTATTTGATAGTGATTCATAAACACATACTTATCTTCCCTATTTGATAGTGATTCATAGACACATACTTATCTTCCTTATTTGATAGTGATTCATACACACATTCTTATCTTCCCTATTTGATAGTGATTCATAGACACATACTTATCTTCCCTATTTGATAGTTATTCATAGACACATACTTATCTTCCCTATTTGATAGTGATTCATAAACACATGCTCATGATATAGTCGGAATCGTACAATCGACCCTGTTTCTTGCAGACATTTCTTATGAATATGGAAAGGGTTTTATCCAAGCGAAGTGGTCTTCTTTAATTGACAAATATGAGAAAGTAATATCAGTTATATTATATATTTGGAGAATAAATATTTTATTTATCTGAAAATATAGTATCGACAGTTCGACAGCGGTGAAATAACACATTGTGCCGGAAATACTTTCAGTCTGCCTGATTAACACAAGGACGTTCAGACTGAGACATGTCAGACCAGTGAGAAAATACATAATACACAGAACATTTGGCATTCTTGTCAAATATCATGTTGATCTCATCTCGTGAACTGACAAAAGCTGACATTTTCACTAACGATGGGCAATTAGAACATTAAAAATAATTGTCAGGCCACCCGATAAGATGAAACGTTGTTTGACAAGAAAAAACAAATATTCTCTGTACTGTTTCAAAATATGACATTCAACAACGTAGGCCTGGCTCGATTTTAAAGTGTACAAGTGTTAACACGGTGCGGTTGGGGGTGGGGTGGGTGTTTTACGTTTTGATATTCGACGGGAGTTTTGCTGTCCAGGAGGAGTTTGACCAGGTCAATGTCCCGGCGTCGTGCTGCGATGTGGATGGCCGCATCTCCACTGTCCTGTAAACAACAAACGTGCAGCAATATTGACGGGCACTTCAGAGGGTTTATTAATCTTTCAACAGAAAATATTAAGAATCTGAAACGCCTATCACGATTTATTGTACATGTGTCTGACTTAACTACGCGTTCATCAAAACAGTAACGTTCATATCTAAAATTTTGATGTATATACTTTCAATGTATAAGGTCTTTGAAAGGCATTTAGAAGTGATACACATAAGGAAGAGAATATATGGATGTCAACTTCTTCAACCTGATGAAGGAGTAAGCAAAACTCTGAAACATTGTGTTCCTCATACTAAAGAAGTTGACATCCATATATTCTCTTCCTTTCAATATATAGTTTGTACTATGTTGCTCTTGTACCACCCTTGCTGTGTTGAGAAATAGATAAATGAGAATCTGACAGAAAGGCTAAAAGATGCCTTGGAATTCCGGTCTTGAAAATGCCTTAAACTGAGAGAAAAAAAGCAACCATTGTGAACTTTGCTGTTTGAAAAAAATATTTAGAGAGGTTCCTTTCTCAAATAATACGTGAAGATATCACGTAGCAATTGATTAGTCCGTGCCACGATCGTTAAATTATATCGAAACAGTTGGTGGCTTGGGTGTATATGGACGTACAAATAGAACAATGCTGACATTGACGTAAGAATGTCCTACTTCAGCAAGCACGTCAACGTCCGACCTTTAGCCCTGACAAGTAGGTTCAATGCACTGAGAATGAAACTAATATTTGTAATAAAGGTCTTGAAATGGCCTTAAATTTGGTATCTTAAGTTTGTTTGGTGTATGGCCCCTACATCGAATACACGGCTCATGCATGTTCGTAATCACATATGCGTCTGGCCATCTGTTTTCGAAGGGTATCAACTGATTTTGAAATACGTGAGCGAATGCTTATGGCTTAATTACACCGCATGAGAGTGATTCCATCCTCCACGTTAAAAACATGAGAAAATGGACATCTTCTGTCCAAACACAAACATATTACATTTTTATTTTATTTAATATTTCATTTATTTTGTTTAACGCCGCACTCAGCAATATTCTAGCTATATGACGGCGGTCTGTAAATTACGAGTCTGGACAAGACAACCCAGTGATTGACATCATGAGCATCAATCTACGCAATTAGGATGCGATGACATGTATCAACCAAGTCAGCGAGCCTGACCACTCGATCCCGTTAGTCGCTTCTTACGACAAGCATAGTCGCCTTTTACGGAAAGCGTGGGTTGCTGAAGACCTATTGTACCCCGGCTCTTCACGGGACCTTTCATTATGTACACATGTAAACCTATATACAGCATGCCGACCTTTTTTACCAGTATCCCAGCTATATCACGGTGGAGGACACCAGAAATGGTCTTCACACATTATATGTATGAAGAGATTCGAACTCGGGACTTCGGCGTGATGAGCGATCGCTTTAACCACTGAGCTACCCCACCTCCCCTCTGATAACCCGCAATGTTCTTCTGCTTACCTTTCTTTTGTGAAGAACCTGTTGTTCCGTGGACAGTAACAGCAACTCCCGACACACTGCAACGTTCCCCACCTCGGCCGCCAGAAACAAGGGGATGGACCCATCCTGTCAGAGAGAAACACGGGAGTGTCTGACATACTCAATCATCCAGTGCAAAATGATAATAAAAGCGACAAATCCCTTTCCAGAACCATTAGCAATTTCTGCTAAATGCATTGTCCATTGACCATATCATGGGAGTTTATGAATCACTATCAAAAAGTGATGATACCAGGTGTCCGCGAACAGGTGAGCGTACCCTGCCCACCCGGTGGTACCCGTGACAAACACATGCATTATCTGACCCCTTTCACACTATAGCCTCGATTTGGAACTGACGGTTCACATCGCAATCTATATTTCCATTAATTTCGAAAAAAACTGTTTGTTTGTTGTTTAACGCCGCACTCAGCAATATTCCACCTGCATGACGGCGGTCTGTAAATAATCGAATCTGGAACAGACAGTCCAGTGAGTGTAGTCATGAGCATCGATCACGCAATTTGGATACGATGACATGCATAAAGCAAGTCAGCGAGCCTGACCACCCGATCCCGTTAGTCGCCTCTTACGACAAGCATAGTGGCCTCTTACGACAAGCATGGGTTGCTGAGGACTCGAAAAGAATGTTTCTCGCTCATCTGAGTGGACGTGTATTTTCAGCGGCATGACAATCGGGTTCAAAACTGCTTCGAATGAATCCAGGATATATGACATAATATAATAGAGATTTAATCCCTAGGAGTATGGAAGGTCTCCATCAACTGACGAGGCGCCGCTTTTACAACATCTAATTCTTCTTCCTTCGGGGATTGCTGTATAGTATTGTACAGTCGGATCGTACAATGAACTCTGCTTTTAGATGATTATGGAATTTTTTTTGCAGCTTTTATTTTTCATTTTTGACGGGTAGGTCGAAAAAAATCCGTATAATGCTGCCATCTTTATAAAGAGCTGTATCTTCATAGTTGATCGTAAAATGGAATTATATGATAAACTTTTCAAATATTTATAGAAGCTTTTCTTAATTTTTTCTTATTGAAACAATTTGTGCTGAACGTGGACACTTATGCAAAGCTACCAATGCTCTAACTTTACACGTATCGTTTAAAAAGCTTTCTTCAGTCTATTTGGTCTTTGAAAGATTCCAAGTCTGGCCGGGACCTCGTCATTGTACTGTCTAATGAGAATATCGATATGCATGAAGTGCCTCTTTGTGTCCAGACATTGAACGTGTCATGCTTCGAGAAACTTCTTTCAGTGATAGAAAATAAGTTGTCAAACTCTGTCATGTTCAAAATACCAATATCATGAAGACAGAGACAATCAATGAATTGTATTTTCGAACATGACTTACAAACTTTAAAAGACTCAGCTAATCAATGAAGTGTTTTGTTAGAACATCACATAACTGTAGCAGAGCACTTCACATCACCATTGATCGCTCTGGTTGTCGGGGTAACAGGAACTTACTTGGGAGATAACACACATACCATCAATATACCACTGTCTACCGTTATGCTAGGGACTCACAGAATCAAATGTATAATCAATTTAAAGGACTTTCACATCATTTCCTTTCGATTAATTTTGTGTCATAGACATCATTGTGCAATATCGAAAATATCCGAACAAAGGGCCTCATGAAGGTATTTCAACATAGGACTGTGCGTTCGTATTCCTTTACACTGTTTATTACATATGAAGATATTAACGTCACTCAGGTATGGGAGTTTGTTCAAAAGATGGACAAGTTGAACTTTCTTGAATTTAGGATGCATTCACGTTTGGTGTCTACATTTCGTAACTTTTGAGGTATAATCGAGCATTTCTCCTACTCTTTGCTCAAAAGTTATTTGATCAGGGTAACAGCATTCAAGTTCTTAGGAAAGCTTTGAAACAAAATTTGAAGTACCTAAATATTCCCGTGTTTGTTCAGGTGAAAACTTGTCATGCCTTTGCATGTGTTTGTGACTGGCGCCACCCATGGGGCAGGATACGAAAAGACGTGGAATCATCAATGTTTTGATAGTGATTCAAAAGTACGTGCTCGTGATTTAGTCTGAATCGTACAATATTACAACTTTAAGAAGAGGTCTCTTATGATCATTATGACACTGATTATGTTTGTGACGGGTGCCGCCGGTGGGGCAGGATACGCTCACATTTTCGCAAACATTGGTATTATCACTATTTGATAGTGGTTCATATGTTTATGAAAGTTCGAATCGTAGAATGGACAATGCTTTTAGTAGAGTTTTGTCGCTTGTATTTATATACTCAAAGGCACAAGTTCTTGTGACATACAAAACACAAAGAAGATCGGTCAAACAATTGTGCTGCTGTGTATGGCATTATATAACATAGAAAGAACAATAAGGGTATGGTAACGAACACCTGTCCATATAAGGAGCGTTTGTACCATATGCAAATGCGCCATGTCACTAGAGAGGGTTCACAGGCATGTTCACCCAGTCAGTAGGCAGTGCTTCCACCTTGTGCATTGAAGCAGGCTTGACATGTTCACCTCATTGAGACCATTAGACGAAGAAAAGTCTGGGCAATGACATTCCATATCGGATGAAGGATAATCCGCAGTTCCTGCTACGATGTTGTTGGATTTGGAACACGTCTCAAAGATCGTTTCATGTCATTCTTGACGTGGTCGATTGGTGGCAAATCAGGGGTTCTTACAGATCAGGTCGACACATGAACAGAAGGGACCGTGACTCGTCGGTGAAGATGTCTCTTCTCCATCGACGTGCTGCCGACCACCAGTGTTGTCTGCACCACTAGAGACGTCGACGTTGGTGTTCTGCCGCCAGGATCAACCGTCGTTGGGCGCCTCACTCGTATGCCATACATGCATAGACGTCATCGGAACGTCTTTGCAGATACGCCTCTGTCTCCAAGCAGGGTACGGGTTGTAGACTTTGCTGTGTGGCACCTTTGTCGAGGTGCGTGGTTCGAATCCAGATGTCCTGGTGGGCGCCACTACGGGGACGATCTCTCACGTGGTGGTTGGTTGCGTTTCTTCGAGCTTTTTCACAAACATTTTCCACGGTTCAAATCCAAAACTTCATATAACAATTTATGTCACAATAACTTTTGCCCTTGAGTACTATTATGATTATGAAAGGGTTTTGTCGCGTTTGTTTAAGAGACTCTATTCGTTTAATCGATACACGCTAAAGTTCAATCCGTCATCGTTGTATACTTAGGACACAGATGTCCACATTGCACTGGTTATGTCTACAGAGGCGCTGTTTAAATTCTCGAAGCTGTCGTGACAACAAGACACAAATCTCTCTCCAATCTCAAGACATGTTCTCTACTTCCATCAGTTGGCTTGTATACCACTCATGATATATATGGGTAAACATTTAATTACAAATATTCAAATTTATCTTTTAGATTCTCCATTTTATTTCGTTAAAACTTGCGCAAAATATCCATGCCCGATTTACATAAAGGAGTTCAGAAAATAAAATTGCTGTTGCAGTGTTTTCATTGCTAACGATTCGTGGTGTCGGTTGCCTATTAACGAGGTGAAAACACTATTCTCGTTATAGCAGAAACAACAATGACGCTCGTTGATACTTAGGTACTTCAAAAACTAAAATCGAATTTAAAATTGCCTGAGGATATTATTTTTGAAAATGAGCGTGGCCAAGGTAATTGCGTTCATTCTTGATGACGTAAAGCCGAACTAACCATAAACATACATGAATAATATTTTTAAAATATGATTTCTCTCCCATGAAACATTTTGATGGCAGACAAAACAAATGCAATGACAGTCCCGTATTTTTTAAAGCCATAAGAACCACTAGTATAAACCTGCTTTCCACAGACAAATTTCTTGCATTTGAATTTAGGTTTATTTTCACATTGACTCTGTTGACAGTGCAAGGATGATCAAAGTGATGATGGTGATAATTACGCCCGTGTAAACTCTCCATGGCCAGTAATAACATTGACATATCGAATGGTATATTTTTCAACCCCAAGTGTAGAGTTAGATACAGGAGCAGTTATGAAAACAGTATTGATTAAAAAATTAGGGCAGAATGACCCGTGAAAAGATAAAAGATACTCCAGAAGAAATCGATCAGATACAATATTTAGTACTTGTCGGAAGTGATTAGAAAACTCTTTACAGAGCATGTTCGTTCACGAAAAGAGAATAGGCGAGATTAGACGAGATTACAAAACCATTGCAACTGGCCATGTTCATTGTGATGCAACACTCACCAAACGAAATGCATTTTATTGCAAAGCAAGAATTAATATCCCAGCATCAGAAACAGTGGTGGCAAACTGCATCCGTCACTGACAGTCATTAGTCCTCCGCACTGATGGGTTATATCACCATCTACTATTCCATCACCCGTGTTGATTCCAAAGAGAATTACTGAATTATTGATAAAGTAAAATAAAAAAGAAAGCAATAGATTGTATCGATTTTATGTTATTGAACTAAATTGAGATGAATATTCTAGGACGGGATCAGATATCAATAGTTATGATCACAACGGGATTAAAATGATTTTTTTTATGAGGAAAAACTAACGCTTGGTACAAGCAACCCCTTGGTGCCATTAGCCACAACAATGATCAATGGTCCTGCTAATGTCTTTCAGCAGGTGCTTGCTCCGCCCTATGTATCGGGGTGACATGGATATCAGAAGGTTCTCCGATCAACGTTTGTTTGGTGCTTATAGTTTCTGCGTCTTATTTGTATCAGCAGTCTGTTTATCATACCTATACGTATAGCTTCCTGTCGACATTGCACGTAATATTACCGTATTCGATTCATGAATGCATTTATTTCATTTCAAGTCTTTTATGATACATTCCTATCAGTGTTTAGGTGTAACTTATGTCTATTGCCATCGAATCCCGCGAGTGTCTGTTTGTGACGGGTGCCACCGGCGGGGCTGGATGCGCTCAGCCTTTCGCGAACACCTGGTATTATCACTATTTAACGGTGATTCAACACATCTCATGATAAAGTCGGAGTCGTGCAATGGACTCGGCTTATAGCAGATATTCCTTGTCGCTTTATTTGGTATTTGCATTAATGTTTCTTTCCAATCAGTGTATTTTGCCGTTTCAGGCCATTTTCAATCTGGTTCAGTCGGTGTCTTTGGTATCTCAGCTGTGTTTCAATCGGTTTCTGTCAAAGTCTTTGATATCTCAACTGTGTTTCAATCGTTTTCTGTCAAAGTCTTTGATATCTCAACTGTGTTTCAATCAGTTTCTGTCAAAGTCTTTGATATCTCAACTGTGTTTCAATCGTTTTCTGTCAAAGTCTTTGATATCTCAACTGTGTTTCAATCGGTTTCTGTCAAAGTCTTCGGTATCTCAGCTGTGTTTCAATCGTTTTCTGTCAAAGTCTTTGATATCTCAACTGTGTTTCAATCGTTTTCTGTCAAAGTCTTTGATATCTCAACTGTGTTTCAATCGGTTTCTGTCCAAGTCTTTGGTGTCTCAACTTTGTTTCAACGGTTTCTGTTATTACGCGTCTCTGGTGTTTCAAGTCTATTCTGTCAGTGTCTTTGGTAGCTCACGTTCGGTATAACCAGATTCCGTCAGTACAGGCAAACAATGCTGTATATCAAGTCTGTTTCAGTCGGGTACAGTGGGTGTCTCTGGTGTCTCTGGTGTCTCTGGTTGCCTACGTCTTTTATATCATCGGTTCTTGTCAGTGTATATGGTATGTCCATCGGTGCCTACCAGTGTCCATACAATGTCGAACCGCCCCCGTGGTCTTTTGACAGAGCGTCTATAGATACACCCAACTGAGATACAAATGCCGCAGTTTAACATGAATACCCCACTCAGACACAGTCTACTGACTCCGAGCCGACGGCATGGGATCTCAGTGGGGTGTATATATAGACGCTCTGCCACATGACCACGAGGGCGGTCCGACATTGTATGGATACTGGTAGGAACCGATGGATATACCCAATACACTGACGTCGTGATATGGAGGAGGTGGCGGGAAACAGCAAACAAAGGACTGGGTATGGCCTGGTTGCCTCTTGGCCTGGCATCATAGCAACATATAGCAAAACCTTTTGAAAACGTTAGATAGTTATGCTTTGTTCGCTTAACGCTTGCGTGTTTTTGAATTGAAAAACACATATTATATAGGTAATGCTAAAATGTTTTGAAAAGGCTGATTTTGGAGGTTTTCGGGAAGCGGAATTCTGATATTTGAAGTCTTTGAGCCAAGTTGATTTTCTGGTGTAGATTTTAGAAAAATAACCCTTTTTGCTATTTTATGCTATTCTAGATCATGCAAGTTCATATCTTTCGACCGTAAGAAAGGAAAAAGGACAGTCGTGAGCCATTTGCCCTTTCTGATAATTCAAATACAAGTTTTCATCTTCATTTAAACAAACCGCTCGTGAAACACAGCAGCTGCCTATGAAAGAGGCAAACGAGGAGGAGACCGGCTACGTGTAAAGAGAATCTCTGTTGAATCGGGATCTTACCTTGTCCTGGGAAAGACGACCATCTTTACCGGACGCCCTGAGGAGAAGCTGGACCGCGTGGACCGCCCCGGATGACCGCGCACACGCCATGTGGATGGGCAGTTGGTCAGTCGGCTGAAACATACGGACACAGATACAGCAAGGTGGATACCAGGTCAACAGAACAGCTACTGTCATGAACATACACTGAGAGAGTGAGTGAGTGGGTGGGTTGGTGTGTTTGGTTTAACGCCGCTCCATACAGTATTTCAGTTACATGATGGTGTGTCAGCTGAATAGAGGAGTAAAACCCGAACTGATGAAGGCCTCAGATGTCTACCACGTTTCGTGAAACCCACGAGGAGGGTTTGGTGCTGACAAACCTATTTGGGATTCGAACCATCATCATACTGTTCTGGCATGTCTAAGGGACGCAACTCTGCAAAGCGCCTTAGACGACTGGGATGTAACTACCCGGTAGAATTACACGTATTTCCAATACAGGACACACAACCTTGTTTATATTCATGAATATAAAGACAGATACATATCCCAACGCTCGTTTTATGTCCTCATGGACAACTTTTTTTTAATGAAAACTACGTGAGTGGCGAGTGTTACCGGTAAACACCTGGTGTCATCATTGATGTAGGGGATCCATTTATATAATTTGCGTCACTATTTGCCTTTTAAGCCCCTTGGAATCTGTTTCGGCAGATGACCAAGACTGAATATTCTCCGTCATTATTGAATGAGTGATTGAGTGAGTTTGGTTTTACGCCGCTTTTAGCAATATTCCAGCAATATCACGGCGGGGGACACCAAAAATGGGCTTCACACCTTGTACCCATGTCGGGATTCGAACCCGGGTCTTCGGCGTGACGAGCAAACGCTTTAACCACTAGACTACCCGACCGCCCCCATTATTGAATGAAGTTACACATCGACTTAAATATATTTATGAGGTTGTAATCGAAATGTTTTCAGTGAACGTGAATTCAAAGCAATGCAATGATGACCCACCCAATGTAATTGTATCAATACCAATATTTATTCTTTAACAGCGAAGGGCACACCCACCCAGCACAAGACCCGGATTATGACGGTAACGGTGATCTTGCCTGACAACGTCAGTATTAAGGGTATTTTAACACAGCGTTCGCATGGAATAAGTATGATAAATAGTACCAATAAATGTCGAGTGTCCTCGACCCCTAACCTTCCATTTCCGTTGTGACATTATCAAGCGTCGGCTCGTTCTGTCCGTGTGACAGTTTATGGGTATATGACCACAGTCATGAGGTTAGGGAGGGCAGTGGATGAAGACACTACGCTGGAGCGTAGCAACGGAGGACACCGTGACGTTCGCCAAAGCTGCTTAATTGGAAAACGGTTTACTTAACAGTAAATCAACCCATTGGACGACCGCTAATAACCCATCACGGCTGTAAAGGCGGCATATCACTGGCTTTTAGAATTTTATCAACAAGATATAGCATTTTGTTGATGTATTAAGAGATTTTTGACGATCTCTGATAGCGATTGTCGTTAGGAAAAAAACATTATTTTCAGCGCAATGAGATTGGGACTTTTTCTCTGTGTAATTAGTCACCAATAAATTAATAAAATAATAAATCTTGAGGTAACGGACAAACAGAGACTTAAATCACCTTAGGCCAATAACCCGGATTCTCTCTTGTCATCCTGCAACCCAGGACCGAACATTGTTGTTATCAAAGTCGACACACATGTTGGGGTGATTTTGAATGAACTAAAACTACAGAACGATTGCAAACATATTGTATAATTGATTCACAATAGAATGTGATCAAACCAGTTGCAATACCCAATGCACATACATTTTGGCACAATAATTATGGCAACGAAGTGATCACCATGCTTGTATCTCACGGAATCTAAATGAATATGAAAATAAGCTTGTGACGTTTCAAGCCCCTTTTATTGAGTTTGTCTTAACGCCTCTTTGAACAGTATCCAAGTTATATCACGACGTGTCAGCTTGATGTGGGAGGAAAGCCCGAAGTCATGCCGGTCTTAGACGTTTACCACTTTGGTGAAATCAACGAGCACGGGTGGGTGCTGACAAACCTAGAGACATAATCAGAGGGAACCTGGATTCGAATTTCGTAAAATAGATTCCTGGCACGCAAAAGGGACGCAAATCGACACGGCGAATTGGGGAGCCATTCGTTGCACGCGTTTTTAACATTATTCCTGTAGTGCAAAGGGAGGGCCTCACTGTTTACTCCTACGGGACGAAACTGGGTTTCCGCCTTTACAGAAACAACTGATAAGCATTTCCAGATGTCCAAGTGGGAATGGACTGATTGGAGAGTGAGTATGGTTTTACACAGCATTTAACCATATTCCAGCAATACTACTACGGGGGTATACCAGAAATCGGCTTCACGCATGGCCGGAATCGACCCAGGGTCTTTGGCGTGACGAGCAAACACTTTAACCACTGAACTACCCCGCCGCTTCTGATTGCTTGGAAATGACATCTGAATAGCATTCAATATTGCCATGAAAATTTTGTCCTTAGTTTCCTAAAAGTAAGGAATACATCGTTCCCCTATCAATTGTTGAGTAGTATAAGTCCCAATCCTTGCGGTGATGTCCCAAACGACGTAACTGGTCGCGCTTCTTACAAGTTGAGAATCCATCATCAGTTACCGTTTGTGAAATGTGAAAAGATTAAATTCTTATTTTATTCAAAGGCAACTCTGTTGCCATATGTTCAATATAACTGTCTCCACATTAAAAACCATTCACCCCCCCCCCCCCCCCCCCCCCGATCCCCACCCTACCCTCTCCCCAACACACAAAGTTACATCCATGTAATACACATCGATATGTATGAGAAATGTAACCCGCACTATAACACAGCCATTGCTGAAACATCAAAGCTGAAAAATGATAGTATCCACTCAGTATAATATGACAATACAATAACCTCTACACATAACGGAGCAAATAAAGTAAAATCAGTATGAGACGACATACGGTGTCTGCCTTTCCAATACTATTGTTCTGTTAATGTTACAGAGATATCCTCGCTCCATAATTGTTATGAATATTAATTCAGCTACATTGTTCCACGACTGGGGAACATATTACACAACCGATTATGAATAGCAATTAAGCAGCTATACTATATTCAGCATATCACATAAAGAGAAAATCATCGTTTAATTACAAACAGTATCTGTCGGAACAGTCAGGTACCTGGACGCCCATCTCTTGCCCATCCTCATCCGGGCACCAGAGACATCATGCCATGATTGTGATTAATGTTATGTAATTAAATAAGCACCGAATGTCAATAGACGTTGCAGCGTCTTTCACAAAGGAAAATTGAGACCCCACAAAACTCTTCAGCATATTTCCTGCCAATTTCCGTACAATTAAAGCAACATTGAAACAGCTTGTTTTGTCCAACCGCATGGAATTGTCTGGCAATGCCACATAGTTGGCGTCCTAATGTCCCACTTTCGTTTACCCTGGCTCCAGACTGAGGCTTACGTCGAGGATTGAAGAAATTAATGACATAATAAGTGCAGTTTTATTGAGTTTTTATTTACATTGATGTGGTCAGTGAAGCGAACGTGAAGTGTGAATATACATAAACGCCACCTTGCTCGCATGGGTTTGAACCACAAAGACAATTGATCTTTGATTTCATGTATGCATCGACAACATGCTCGGTCCTTCCACATCACACCCGTGTTCACAGAGAACAATACTTAGTATTAATCAATGTCTTAGATACCATAGAGAAGCTACCTGCTCGAGTTAATGCATGTAAATCCGAACACACTCACGCTGTTAATAAACACTTCTTGGTAGGCTAAAACGCGCTCGTGAATCATAAAGTGTACTTGAAAGCTCCTTGAGGACCAGTCAGCGGTGACTATTTTTGAAAATGCTACAGGATGTAGCAAATCTCGAGGAATACTTTGGTCATTAATCACGAGAGTCGGAATCCGTGCAGCTTTAACCACGTTGAAGAGGTGTAAGAATGAAGAACCGCATTTGTATTGCTAGACAGTGACACGACGTCACAACATTATGTTATTTCTAATTGTAGCAGGTTTGATTATATTCGAGACATAAATTGTATCATAAAACATATATGTGTTATATAAACTCCATACTAGATTATCTAGGTTATCTATTGTAATAAATACCCTGAAATCATTCGTCACGGCAGCTTCGTTTCGGAAGCTACGTCAAAATGTCCATCTATACTGGCGGGCAAAAGAAAGTACACACCCATGTTTGATGATCGAAACAAACAAAAAATGGTCATTCGATGGTGATGTATTTGATGTTGGTATCGCACTAATGTTTCTAACCACTAGACTGACATGTTTCGGTGACTGTTTTCAGTCTAGTAACGTTTCGATAACATTTGTAAATATTTAGTGTAAAGTGTATATCCCCCCCCCCCCCCCCCGGTAGTATGTCTCACTACCAAATAAGGACGACATGGCGCTGAATGGGTCCAGGGCGTTTGATATAATAGAAGTAACATGAAGTATCTACAGTGAAACCCCGTTAATCAGGACAGTTCCAACGGGATTCACAAATGTCCCCAAGGAGTATCCGAACAGGGGAGATAACTCCCATCTTCGCTTTTCAAACAAAAGTTGCAGAAACCGTCCGGAGAAAAAGACAGATGTCGATCATGTGCCATATCACTGCTAAGAACGGGTGCTCGGGTCGGGTTCTGAGAAACTGGTACTCCAGTCCATTTTGTTCTTCCCGTCAAAGCCCGAGACTGTCTTGGGGGCACGGGTGGCCAAGTAGTCCAAGTCGCCACAATTTGCTGTGCAGAGTTGCGTCCCTTGGGAACGCCAGAAATCTGTGATTATGGGTTAGAATCCCAGTTCACCCCGATTATGTTTCTAGGTTTGTAAGCATAACACCCGTGCTCGTGGGTTTCCCAAAGTTGTATATATCTGAGACATCTTGACAGACCGTGATATTACATGAATACTGTTCAAAGCGGCGTCAAACCCAACACATTCACTCACTCACTTAAGTACTGTCTATGTGAACATTGCAAAGAGCCATTGTTCGTCATTGGGGTAGTGGTCATCCTGTTCGTTAATCCAGCACAAGGTTCGATTCTTTTCTAACATTAGTGGCATAGAAAGGACAACGCTTGTTCTTACTCCGTTACTGCTGACATAGTGAACTTGTTCGGAATAACAGATGTCCTGATTAACGAATCATGGCTTAAACAATGATGTTCTAAGTAAAAATCAATATAATATATAAAGGCACACTAACAGGGTCCAGATCAACAGGGTCCAGAGTTCCCCTAAAAACTGAGAAACACTGAATGGCCATAGTAAAATCTGTCTCAATCTGACTCTGACTAATCCGCATCTCTGTCAAAACCGAGCCAAATTTACGGCCCCCCCCAAAAAACCACGTTCATTGCTCATAAAGTAAAATCGGTTTGATCCGGACCACCTTCACTGACAAGTAATCAACCCGCGTTCTACCAAACTGGGATACACCTACACACATCCGTGCCAGCAATAGTGCATATGTCCTAGCGCACACCACCAAATCAACCAGTTAAACCTTCGCTCAATAATCTGACCTTGAATGGTTCGTCATCAGCTTCCGGTTTTCTAGAATATCCCCAGAATGAGAAGGGATCGTCTTTGTTAACCCGGAGGCCGTGCACAATAACAAAAACTAATGCGATTAGGATTTACATATATCATGAAGCCAGGGTTTGATTAAGTCCTAGGTGTTCTAGTGTGAGTACTCGCCAGCTTTGTCATTTGTTGTGTTCAAGGAACTTATGTCTAAATGTCGCCATGTTAACACTGGTATCCAATCTTGGTATCAATATTGAGGGACAAAATCAGCTGAACAAATAGCCTTCATGTTGTCTCGCATACATGTACATACATGTTGCCTTTAACTATTAAGACCGAAAGTGTTATCAGTATCGTGGATATAATATTTTTGATTGAAGTGCTTAATTCCGGTTCTATTTAGTTTCGACTGACATCAAAGAATGGCTATTTTATCTTTCTTAATTACCCATGATCAGGGCAAATCTTTCGAGGGACGGTAGACCGGGCAGTGCCACTTTGTAGTTGTAATACACTGCTGGACAAAATAAAGTATGCATTTGAAAAATTAATTTTGACGTAATCATTACAAAAGGTATCTAAACGTTAACAGGTTGAAAATATTGTTTGGTCCAGACTCGATTATTTATAGACCATCGTCATATAGCTGCAAAATTGTTGAGTCTGGCATTAAACAACAAACAAGCAAACAACAAACTAGGTTGAAAACAGTCGCCGAAACACTGCAAACTTGAGGTTCGAAACACAACAATAACACCCGTATCAAATACATCAGCATCGAATAACCAATGTTTGTTTGTTTGTTTGTTTGTTTGTTTGAATTTTAGCTACCCTCAAACACAGATGTATACTTTCTTTGGCCTGGCAGTTTATTTTTATCAATACATATATACATATTTCCAACTGACATATTCTTTAAATAAATCGTGCGAACATGATCCAACAAAACCTCTCAATAAAATTTGATGACATATTTCTCAGCACCTCGCTGAAATGATCTTATTTTAAAATAAGATAACTAGGTATCATTTACATTAAGTGTGCATGCATTTCCTTGATCCGAACATCAAGGCACTTTTTTGCAGCCTCAATCATCTTGTACCATTAAAGATACGGCAATAGTATGGTAATGTGTTATAAACACACCGACATAAAACTTGAAAACGTCTTCTCTTCTAACTGGCATTCTACCATGACTTGGAAAATACTCGATTCTAATTGGTCAAATCGCAATAACGAAATCTGAAAAAAAGTTGATATGACGTCCGCATCTCCGCGGATTATAATATTTATTTTAAAATGCGTTTTCCTCGATAAGGGTCAGTAGTCACTTTGAACTAAAGATGATGGAGTTGCGGTTCCTTAAATATTCAATATTCTTTCAAATAGATGTTTGCTAGCGATAGCGTGGTGCAACGCACTTTCAATGGTTCTCATACATGCAACGGAAATGTGTTGAAATAAATAAATTGCGAGTGATCCCGTGTCATTTGATTGGCTAATCAATCAACTTTTCTTGCGTCATGTTTCCATAAAACAACTAGGCCACGCCCAATAAGGGAACCTGATTCCTAATAGGCTGATAAAATAATGGGTGGGGCGTGTGTTGCATTATTGCACAGAACGATGTCGCTGATTTCGTATTGTTGTCTTGAGTGCTTTTGATGTCAATGACTAAATAAGCAGTAGGTGAAGTTGTTATTGTTGACGTATTATCAATAAGAATTACACTTTGGGTAAATCCACTGCAAAGTGTTCACACCGTTTATTTAACTTATTTAACTCCTAAAGACTGTTGAAGTCAATTCTTCGGTCAATAACTATTTCAGAATATATGTCGACTATCTGTGTTTCATCAGTGGAATTCGGGAAACCTCTTAAAGCATTTGACTCAACTCATACCATCGCCATCATTATCCTCGTAAGCATAAAATTTGGTGCTATCACTAATTTTGTCTCTTCGGTTTCGCTTCAATCTTCAACTTAACAGAGCCATTTCTATACCTTTACATTCAAAACATAGAGCGTTTATCCCCCAATAATCTATCCTTAATGTCCTTCTATTCTTAAATGTAAGGTTGCAAGTGCCTAGTCACATTCTGGCAAACTGTCAAACCCTGATCGTATACAATACATGACATATATGCAAAGGTATCGGCCTTTGTCATAGTTGGCGCCAGATGCGTCGTGAGACGTCGGCACAACATTAACAGAAGCTTAATGGTTTGGAATAACTGTATCTACACAAACCACATGTGACGTCCACTGTACCTATCTGCTGTACAGCCACCAGTATGGAAGACACACTTACCCCTCCCGGCATGCTTGGGTCGGACTTCCGGTTGAGCAGCAGTTTGATGATGTCGTCCTTGGCGTAAGAGGCAGCGTAGTGAAGCGCCGTGCGACCATCCTGTAGGGACACAAACAGACAACATGTAGTTGGATACAACATCTGATTAATAAACGTCACCATCTGAGAATAATAATATTCGTTTTTCTGCCGAAACACATTCCATAGGGAGTTAAACTTAAAAAAAACCCGACTATGGTAGACATGTGAAAGACACGTGTGACGCATCAGTGGCATACTAATGCTTGATGCAATTTCCTGTTTTGAGTTGTCCCATCTGTTCCCGTGTTTAGTTGGGTGAACAATTGAGTGAGTGAGTGAGTGAGTATGGTTTTACGCCGCTTTTAGCAATATTCCAGCAATATCACGGCGGTGGACACCAGAAATGGGCTTCAGACATTGTACCCATGTTTGGAATCGGCGTAACGAACCACTAACTTAAACCGCCCCGTTGAACAATAGACTTGCTTTAGCATGTGTCTATGACGGGTGTCTCTGGTGGGGCAGGATTTCATATTGATTCATAAACACATGCTTATGATAAAGGCGGAACCGTACAGCGGATTCTTCTTTTAACAGAGATTTCTTGTTAATATGGAAAGGGTTTTGTTGCCTTTTTGTTTTGTCATCTAGGTTTTATACAACTATGGCATATATTTCGCGAAAACCTTGCATCATTACTGTTAGATAGTGATTCATAAACACATGCTTATATTAGAATCGGAATCTACAATTAGCTTTGATTTCTTATGATTATGGAAACGGTCGCTTTTATTATTTAGGAATAGCACATAAATCAGTTATAACCATCATTTTACATAGCAGTGAAAACAGAGTAAACTTTATTTGTTTTTTTATTTAACGCTGCTCTCATGATTATTACAGTATGACGGCGGCCTGCAAATAGTCTGGACCATACAATCCAGTGATTGATAACGTGAGCAATGTTCCACGCCGTCGGGGTACGGTGACACGTCAATCAACCAAGTCACCGAGCTTTACCCCCCTAATTCCATCAACTCACCTCTTACAACCAGCCAATTCTAACCTAGAATCCCCGCGGACTAACACGAGTATATCCGGGCGGTACCGTTGCCAGCAAAACGGTCGTTCTAATACCTAATACCTCTTCAGGTATACATAGACTTTCCTCAAGGTATGGACTTCCGGACTACGGGACATGGGCGACATGCCTTCATACAGTGTGATGGTATGGTAGTCTGGATGGTGCGAAATCGTTCATATTAACAAATGCCAAGTTTAACAAATCATACATCCGTATTTGACTACCTTGATTAAATAGAGGTTCCAAGAGGGAAGTCGTTATCGTGAGGTTTACGGATTAACGGGGTCAACATTTTCTGTGTTTCACGGTATATGCTTTGTGAAGGAACAATATGAATGAAAAGATATCTGAATCTTGATACGAAACTATCCAATTCGACATTATACATTTGTTTGTCTTTAAGAGGAATGACTATATGAAAGGGATACAATGCTGTTGTTTGAAGCATTAATGTACACAAACGAAGCGAAACAAAATTTCAGACACTGTTTCGTTTCGTTTGTTTGTTGTTTTAACGTCGCGCTCAGTTTTCATGATATATGAGGACGGTCTGTAAATAATCGAGTGTGGTCCAGACAATAGAAGGATTGATATTGCACACCGTGATCAAGCCCGACCATCCGATCCATTTGCTGGCTTATGACCAGCATTTTGCTGGGGACCAATTATAACGGGAGAATTAATATTAACAAATCCCAACCACTCAATGTGTAGTCATGAAAGCCGTACCAAATGAACACGAACCATAAACCAAGGTAACGCGATACTCGTGGAACACCAGCGTCAATTTCGGTTTTCGATGTGAATAATGCACCCACATACATGCACACTCGCTGTGCAGATGCACCATCAACAAAAGAAGATGCAGGGAACCTTAAGTACAGGGAAAGGAACACATTTATCAATATTTGTGCACATTATAAATCACTTAAGTCCAAAAAGAACTGTTTTAATGACAATCCGAGGAGTTCGTTCTCTAAAAGTTCAAAACTTTACCAGATACAACATTGCATTGTGTCGTTGCTAGGGACGTTTAGCAAGTGTTATTATCAACATCGTTTCATCAATATCAAATCATATCTTGTCGTGATGTTTCAATAATAATCTATTCTCTCCGAGCATGATCCTCCTAATTGTCCACCACACTGCAAAAACATGTGAGTTAAGTACCGCGAGTAGGCATGAGAGCTAATTGAAAACGCGTGTAGGAGCCAGAAAGTACATCTCACTGAATCCGAGCCGAACCGTCAAGTGCTGCTTTCCACGGAGCACACACACATACTGGACAATCAAAAACACAAATGCGTTCTGCTGAATTTAACCCGCGGCTCTATTTATCCAAAAGTGGTTTGCTTCGTATTTCCGGAATGAAAACTCCGGAAAAAGTGTTACACTTTTGGGATCAGTGGTGATGTATTTGCTTGGAATCTTATCGCCGTGTTCCCATAGCAGTCATCAAACAGTACGATCTCACTGTAAGGAACGCTATGAAAGACGATAGTGCTTGATCAATACACTACCTGCTGATGGCGACTCCCGCCGACTGCCGCACGTGGGGTGTCAGTTTGCACCTAATGTTAACTACGTAATTATCATCGACTGGCGCTTGATTGTCTTCAATAACTTCTGAGTTTATTTTGGTTTTAATGTCACGTAGCTCAGTATACCGTGGAGTTTGATTATTGGTCCACTTCTAAACGTTTATGGCAGAAAACATGTTGTAATTGGCGTCGTTTGCGTAAAAACGTAAAACAAATTTATTTTGGTTTCAATTTCACCCTGCTTACTAACATCCGGAGAGCTTGGCTATTTGGGTTTTTTTCTAACCTTTATAGAAAAATGTAATTGGAGTTGTGTGTAATAAAAAGCAAACTGGGGGGAGTGTAGAAATGTAGAAATTGTTTAAGCGAACGGTACAAATTGACAAGCCCGTACTTTCATGATGTTTGTAAAAGGCGGGACTTAAAGGTGGTTTTAGGAGGCTTGGTTACAAAGAGAAAGGCGAGCTATAGCTTATGACGCTGACTCAGGCCGACACGTTCGGAAATGCATGTGTAAGACATCCAAATATAGACATCCAGACGGGCACAAGTTCCTTCTTGGTCCGATGCTACCGGGACACGACTGGGACTATCCCTTGACATTTAAATTGATCATGACGTTTCTAAATAATAAAAAGCGACTAAACACATTTGTATAGTTATAAGAAATCTCTACTCGAGTCGATTGTTCGATTCCAACTACAGCATGAGTATATGTTTCTGAATCATTATCACATAGTGATAATACCAGGTGTTCACGAAAAGGTAGGCGTATCCTGCCGCACCGATGACACAAACACATGCAAAGACACGTGAAGTAAAATAGTAAATTTTCATCGGACATCATTTTTGTGTCAAGTGCGAAAAAATTAGACATGTTCTCCCCATGCCTACCACAGCAGTCTTCAGGGCTAGTAATTCCCTTAAGTGACACTCCCTGATTAAATGATTCTGGTTTCAACTATGAATCCTATGATCGTGTGTTGGAATCCTTTAATGGCCCTAATTCTCGGTTGTTCAGTTCATGCCCGTAGTTTCATCAAAGTGGTAAACGTAGTGCTGCACTTCAGGCTTTCCTTCCACATTAAATTGACACCCCGTGAAGGAACTGAAATACTTTTTCCAAGCAGCGTTAAACACAAATTACTCACTCACTCTACAAGTGAGTAAAAGTATCAAAAAATAAAAACGTGGTATTAGGTCATTGCTTCGAGATTATGCACGCGTCTCGGGGATTTCTCAAGCTGTAACCCTTCGGAGGCAAGAACCCGAACACGGAACGTGACGCGTGAATGCAGTAACTTCTATGCCACGTGACCATCTGTATGTATTGTCGAGGTACACTTCCGTTGTACTCTCATAATGCAAGTTCAATGTATTCATCTTTTCAAAATGTGTTTTCGCAACAAAATCGTTTTCATGTTATCATTCTTTTTTCCATTAATCTAACTCTCATATTCATAGCGTCACTTTCTCCTTATCATGCATAAATACTTTTCGATCTCCAGGAGGGATTAATAAAACTGCGAGATCGCGAGAATGTCCCTTACTGTAGTCAATAATTAATAGTTCTCAAACAACACAGATCTTGAACTACTATTCACATTCATCTCCTGCATGAATATATTGACTATTGTATCTTGGAAACCCGTAAGAAGACAATGTCAGCTGTTCAAACAAACAAACAAACAAACAAACAAACAAACCCACTGTCATGTGAAAACAATCGAAGACGAATACCACAAGCCCGTTGTCTTAGTCCAATATTAAATTTCTTCGCACCTTGCATGTAAATTACATGAAATTTATTTCGGTCAATGGCGTTCAGATAAATGTTCAAGCACCCCGGTAGAGTGGAGAACAACTAGAAAAGATGTACCCGTCGTCATGGCAACAGACATTTTACCGATCTCTGTAATCTCGGCACTTCAAACTTTTTACAGTGAAACGGCGTCGCTTGAAGTATTTGAAGACAGACTTTAGATGTACGCGATGCACAGAGCCTTAACATAACCAAATTGTCGTCTGGAGGTCACCTGGCAATTAATATGGCGCCAAACAAACGCTTCGCGTCACATTCCGATAAAGAAACTAGCGCGTGATAACAAATCAATTCAGTCGGAGTGTTTCAGTTTGATGTCGCTAACTGTAAATACATTGAAGAATCGTTTGCCTCAAATTCGACTTGATTCCATTTCATTAAGAATATGAACATATTTGGTCCAGTATTTCTAGCAGTATTTGCCGAGCGGGTTTTGTAACTTGTTTGCTGTATCAGGATGTCGTCACTAAATAGCTGCACGTACGGCGAGACATATAAAGCATACGTCAGCCTTATGAAGCACCCATGCCTAGCGTTAAGAAGCACACATGGCTAGCGTTACGAAGCTCACATTGCTAGCGTTATGAAGCACCCATGCCTAGCGTTAAGAAGCACACATGGCTAGCGTTAC